TATGCTCATGTTGATCTGCAAAGCACCGACAAGGAAACAACAAGAGTTGCATCTGTTGACCTGACAGGCGATGTAGAGACTCGATCCTGGGTAGCCTCACAATGGCACATATTGCAACATAGGTCGAGTCTACAGTATCATGCATGTAACACGACACTTGCGCGATAAATGCGATGTTCGCGCGACGCGCACGACTTAGGCGACACTTCCGCGACATAGGCGACACTTGCGTGACTTGCGCGCGCTTTAGGGCGAATTTTTCCCGCGCCTAAGCGCTATAGGGCGCCTGACTTCCCACTGTGTTTTTCCCATGTCCAACCAAGTTCCCAGGTATGCATTTCTCCATTTAATCATTATTTCAACATCGTACCATGTTTATTTTCACTTGGTACACATTTTTCATTACACATTTTTTTTACTTTAGACCACAAACACACATTACCAGGGACCACCATCATCATAGACAGTCACCATCTCGAGTTTTTATTATGTTTTGAATAAATCATCGCAAGCCCTAGTAGCAGTTAGCTCTAGTGGCCATATCTGCATCAGTTGTCTTATCAGCATCTCAGTACACGTCTTAACATCTCACTATCGCTCGCATACCGCTTTCCACCCAGTTTCCGCTTTTCGACGCGCGACTTTCCCACGCTTCGCGCGCCTATAGCGCCTTTGTTCCCGCGCTTTCGCCTTATCACGCGCTTTGCGCATTCCCCCTAGAGTTGACCAGTGGATATTTGCTTTCTCCGCTTCCCCTAAGGGACGAACATATCGCACTCATATTTTCCTCCCTTCAACAATTATATCAGCTGCACCCTCAGCTGAGTTGAAGATCCTTCAACTGGAGCCCACCGCGAGGGGATCAGTCAGCACATCCACACATATCCAACTCCATTCCACTCTACTCCACTATCCGCATATCCACTTCCCACATTTTCGCCTTATTCACATTATCGCGTTTCCTCCGCCTATTCCGCCTTTCGCTATTCCGCCTATTCCGCGCATCCGCATATCCGCCTTTTCCGCTTTTCTGCCTATAAATCGCGAAATTCGCGATTTAACGCCCCTTCGCTTTCACAACCATGAACACGCCAGTAGATTCCTTTGGCATGCCTTGCGCACCTGCAAGCACTGCTCCACGTTTTGGAGGTGACCTACACCCAACTGGTCAACTTCCTGGAGTCAGTAGAACGACCTCGCGCAACCACTTGGGCTGTCAGATAAGGACATTATCAAGTATGCCTTGAAGTATTCTGCGCCTAATGAGAGAGAGGTGTTCCAGTGCTATGAAGGTAACAACACCTATGAAGATTTTGCTTAACTTTGCCTTGTTCATGTATCCAGAATGCGCAATTAAGCGCCTACAACGCGCCCTACTAGCGCGATTTCCGCTATTCCGCTTCCGCCCCTTGAAGCATCCCCTGAAGCGCCACCTGTAGGTGCGCCTCAGCACCAGAACGCGCCCAAGATCAGCTAGTAGCAGCAGCTATGGCGCCAATATGGCGAAATACGCGAAAACCCTTCCCCTTCCGCCTACTCCAACATTGCCTATCATTGAAATCGTGTTCGCACCAGCACACATCGAGGCGCCTATTGTAGGCGAACCTACAGAGCATCAGAGCGACACAGAAGATTAGTTGGACGAAGTGGTTTCACCCCAGCTCGACATATGTGAACCTAACCGCTATCGCGAACGTGCCAAATGCGCTACCAGACAGATCACGCCATCCATCATCACAATGACCTTCAACCCCAATCGCATTTTAGCGCGCCTATTCAGGAGCATTCTGCAGTGACAGAGCTCCAAAATGCGCCTCATTTTAACCACAGTTTGTCTCTACTAAATCCGCTTGTTACTGACAATACCGCGCATATCGCGTTTTCCGCTTTCAGCGACTTCCACTTGCCAGTCAAACACCCATGTATCAAGTCACCCACCCACCAAGTAGAACATGTCTCAGGCGACCCTGACACGCCTCCAGTGCACCCTATGGCGCCTGAGGTCGCACATGTCACGCACTTGAGGCACTGTATATTCAACCTTCGCTCATTTCGCCTTTTTCGCTTATTTCGCGTTTTTCACTCTCATTGAGTTTTTCATCAGTTGCTAATGCTTCGCCTTTGCCTTCATTTAAGCTTACCATCATTCCCTCACTCAGGCGCCACAGTCGCGCGCCTCACGCCTTAATTCACGCGCCTAAGGCGCCCATCATTACATCAAAGTTTTCCCTCCATCGCATTTTACCACTTTATCATTTTTAAATTGCATTCCTCACATTCATCATGACCCATACTTCAATCAGCCATTCAGGCGCGACTTAGGCGCGCGCCTGACACACATACATCCGCCTACATCATCCATCATTACATTTAACATTGCACCATCAGTCCTTATTCACATTTTTCGCATTTTCGCTTATCGCGTCCATAACATCCTTTCATTTTATATCAAGTACCATTCATTCATGATCAGGCGCCTATGTCGCCTTGATATATCATTCATACTCATCATTCGCGTCACATTCACGCCTAATTTCACTGCACATAGATCACTCACTAACGCATTTTCGCTATTTCAGCCTATCCTCGCGCATACAGAGGATATAATCATTTTCGCGCCTAAATGCGCTAACGCGCCAGCATCGCCTATCGCCTATCGTGCTGTAGCGCCTTTCAACCACTGTCGCCTCGCCTCGCCTTGGCGGCGCCTAATAGGCGCCACCCAAGTGCAAGAGTTCATCCCACCAGTCACTAGTCCCGCCACTATCGCGAGTTTGAAGAAGATTGGTTTATACCTGGTTGAAAAAGTTGTTGCAAAGTCTTGAAGATGAAGAGTACACCATTCCCTGTCGCTTAACACTGTCGCCTCACGCGCTTTCGCCTTATCACGCGCTTTGCGGCATTCCCCCTAGAGTTGACCAGTGGATATTTGCTTTCTCCGCTTCCCCTAAGGGACGAACATATCGCACTCATATTTTCCTCCCTTCAACAATTATATCAGCTGCACCCCTCAGCTGAGTTGAAGATCCTTCAACTGGAGCCCACCGCAAGGGGAACAGTCAGCATATCCACACCTATTCAACTCTACTCTGCTATCCGCGTATCCACTATTCTGCATTTTCACCTCATCCGCATTTCCACATTTCCGCTTATTCCGCCTTCCGCTACTTCGCCTATTCCGCGCATCCGCATATCCGCCTTTTCCGCTATTCCGCCTAAATCGCGAAATTCGCGATTCACGTGCCTCCGCTTTCACGCTATGAATGCGCCAGTAGATTCCCTTGGCATGCCTTTGCGCACATACAGTGCAGCTCCACGTTTTGGAGGTGACTACACTCAGCTGGTCAACTTCCTGGAGTCAGTAGAACGACTTGCGCAAACCACTTGGGCTGTCAGATAAGGACATCATCAAGTATGCCTTGAAGTATACTGTGCCTAACGAGAGAGAGCTGTTTCAGTACTACAAAGGTAACAACTACGAAGAGTTCGCTAATTCCGCCTTGTTCATGTACCCAGAATGTGGCATTGAGCGCCGCTATACACGCCCTACTAGCGCGCAATCCGCTATTCCGCTTCCGCCCCTTGAAGCGCACCATGAAGCGCCACTCGTAGGCGCACCTCAGCAACCAGAACGCGCCTTAGATCAGCCAGCAGTTGCAGTCATGGCGCCAGTACAATGAAAACACGCGAAACCATTCCCCTTCCGCCTACTCCAGCATCGCCTATCATTGAAATCGCTTTCGCACCAGCCCATATCGAGGCGCCTATTGTAGGCGAACCTACAGAGCTTCAAAGCGACCCAGAAGATCAGTTGGACGAAGTTGTTTTACCCCAGCAAGAAGTACAAGCACCTACCGCTATCGCGAACACGCTAAACGCGCCACTAGAGGAGATCGCATCACCCATCATCAACAACGACCTCAAACCCCCATCGCATTTTAGCGCGCCTATTCAGGAGCATTCTGCAGTGCCAGAGCTCCAAATGCGCCATACCTTGACCAGAGTTTGTCTCTGGTAAATCCGCTTGTTACTTGACAATACCGTGCATATTGCGTGTTCCGCTTTCAGTGACTTCCGCTTGCCAGTCAAACATCCTTGCATCACATCACCCACTCACCATATAGATCATGTCTCAGGCGACCCTGATGCGCCTCCAGTGCACCCTATGGCGCCTGAAATCGTGCAGTTCGCGCGCCTAGAGGCAATGTACATTCAACCTTCGCCTTTTTCGCCTTTTTCGCTTGTTTCGCATTTTTCGCTCTCAAGGAGTTTTTTTATCAGTTGCTAATACTTTGCTTTCCCCTTCAATCAAGCTCACCATCATTCCCTCACTTAGGCGCCACAGTCGCGCGCCTAACGCCTTAATTCTCGCGCCGAAGGCACCCATCATTACACCAAAGTTTTCCCTCGATCGCATTTTTACCACCTTATCACTTTTAAATCTCATTCCTTGCATTCATCATGACTTATATTTCAATCAGCCATTCAGGCGCGACTTAGGCGCGCGCCTGGCATGTACAACATCCGCCTACAGCATCCATCATTACAATTAACTTCACATCATTTGTCCTTATTCGCATTTTTCGCGTTTTCGCTATCGCGTCCATAGATCACCTTTTCATTTTCTATCAAACACCAACCATTCATGACCAAGCGCCTATGGCGCCTTGATAAATTGTCCATACTCATCATCTGCGCCTTATTCGCGCCTAATCTTGCTTCATATTCATCTTTCACTAACGCGTTTTCAGTATATCAGCCTATCCTCACAAATCCAGAGGATATAATCATTTTCGCGCCTAAACGCGCTGACGTGCCAGCGTCGCCTGCCAGCCTATCATGCTGTAGTGCATCTCTACTACCCTCGCCTCGCCTCGCCTTGGCGCGCGCCTAATAGGCGCCACCAAGTGCAAGAATTCTCCCTCCAGTCACTAGTCCGCCGCTATCCGCGAGTTTGCAGAAGATTCAGTTCATGCCTGGTTGAAGAAGTTGTTGCAGAGTCTTGAAGATGAAGATCACATCATTTCCTGTCGCCTACCACTGTCGCCTCACGTGCCTTCGCCTCGCGCCTCATCCGCTTCAACCGCTTCAACCATCATTTCGCAAACATCAGCATATACCATGTTTTTCATAGGATATAGTTTGTTTTATACCCTGGTTTTCATCCAGCGCTTTTCACCTTTCATTTTTATTATCATTACATCGCCCTTAACACTAATAACACACTGATATACACACTTATAGATCCGCTTAGAAGAAAACAACAAAAACAACAAAACACCCATAGACTCGTGCCCACCTCACCCAGTAGGATATTATTTTCGCTTCTAACGCATGCTGTGGCACCATGCACATTATTACCTTAGAATGCTCCCCTATAGCGCCTCATTCTCGCGCTTATCGCCTAATTCCCGCGCCTTACGCGCCTCGCGCGCGCGCTTTTTTTCGCGCTTAGCGCATAGAAGGACATAGATGTTGATAGTTGCACGAAGAAGACAAGACGGACAGGACATCCGCAAAGTTTACCATTTCACTTTCGCTTTTTCACTTATATTTTTACTCATGTCATTCATTCCCTTAGCACCTGTTTCATAGCGCGCCTAGTGGGACTTGGTTTGGACATGGGTTGGACCACTTCCTCAACACGCAGTTTCGCCTTCCACACCTTGGATATCACTGGACATTCGCCTCTTCACCTTCCCTGCACTATGCGACGCTTACGCGGCATACGCAACATTCGCGCTTATCACGCACATCCGCGCACCTCAGGCGCCTCAAGCGCGAATGTTCCCGCGCCTTACCACAGCACATTCACGCCACACTTGCATCATCAGCCATCTATTGTCATCATGAGTTCGCATCCTTACGCCATCTTGAAGAGTCGCTATCACTTGAATACCGCATTCGCACACTTCCCGCTTCATAAGCGCGAATGTTCCCACGCTTCGCGCGCCTATGACGCCTTATTCACGCGCATACACACATCACTCTCGCCTCATTGCAGTCATCTCCATATCATTCAGGCAGTTGTCACCATCACATCCCCAAGCTTTTGATTGTGTTTTGCACACACCAGAGTCACTTTCGCGCATTCCGCTGTTCTATTACCGCGCTTTCACGCCCCTCTGACGCCTTACGCCTGCGCCTCTCCCGCGCCTAGCGCGCCATTGTTTTGCCAGTCTCGCCTCATCACATTCGCCTCAGACACGCTCGCAGTACACTCCTCTCACATCACATACCCCCATCACAACTTCGCTTGAGTTCACCACTTGATGCACTGAGTGGGGACACTCAGAATTTAAGCCCCCAGGAGATGTAGAGACTCGATCCTGGGTAGCCTCACAATGGCACATATTGCAACATAGGTCGAGTCTACAGTATCATGCATGTAACACGACACTTGCGCGATAAATGCGATGTTCGCGCGACGCGCACGACTTAGGCGACACTTCCGCGACATAGGCGACACTTGCGTGACTTGCGCGCGCTTTAGGCGAATTTTCCCGCGCCTAAGCGCTATAGGGCGCCTGACTTCCCACTGTGTTTTCCCATGTCCAACCAAGTTCCCAGGTATGCATTTCTCCATTTATCATTTATTTCAACATCGTACCATGTTTATTTTCACTTGGTACACATTTTTCATTACACATTTTTTTTTACTTTAGACACAACACACATTACCAGGGACCACCATCATCATAGACAGTCACCATCTCCGAGTTTTTATTATGTTTTGAATAAATCATCGCAAGCCCTAAGTAGCAGTTAGCTCTAGTGGCCATATCTGCATCAGTTGTCTTATCAGCATCTCAGTACACGTCTTAACATCTCACTATCGCTCGCATACCGCTTTCACCCAGTTCCGCTTTTCGACGCGCGACTTTCCCACGCTTCGCGCGCCTATAGCGCCTTTGTTCCCGCGCTTTCGCCTTATCACGCGCTTTGCGCATTCCCCCTAGAGTTGACCAGTGGATATTTGCTTTCTCCGCTTCCCCTAAGGGACGAACATATCGCACTCATATTTTCCTCCCTTCAACAATTATATCAGCTGCACCCTCAGCTGAGTTGAAGATCCTTCAGCGAGATGGCCGGCCGGTGAGATCCATCGCGGTGCTGCGACATGGCTGGCATCTGGAATAATGCTGGAGGAGGTGCAAGTTGCACTCCTGATTGATGTGAAGAAACTTGGAAGGCGGCCGACTGATGCTCAGAAGCTGGTGATAGCTTGGCGCCACGACAGAATGCAAGGTCAAATAGATGAATTCATCAGGGTGGCAGTGACATTTCTTGGCGATCAACTGGATGAATATGATCAGTTGGACCTCATGACCATGATGTTGGATGCTGCAGAACTGGATTCTGCTGGGTCATCATCTGACAATCCTGATTGGCCGGACAACAAAGACCGATATGATACACCGGTCAAGTTCACTCCTGAGACCCTGGTGATTCCACTGCCCTCAAACATAGGGATTAAAAGATGCGCCGAGTGGGGCGTCGCCGACCTGGTGCTCCAAGAAATATTATTGAGAGAAGGTCAAGCCAATGACGCATTGCATGCCATCAGGGTTAACTTGGCCAACAAGGCTGTTCTCTTCCGCACCATGGTCCGGTCGGTGAAGTCACAAGCTCGGTCAACTCGTGCATGGGCCCGGGTGCACTCGGTGGACAAGATCCTTCACTTAAATGTACAGATATACTCCAAATGTCACAGCCAACTCATTCACCTCGGCGCCAATGACTTACTGGCCAAGTTTTGGCCATTGGAGAAGGCCGACCTAAAGGCTACTACGGTGGTGGCAGACCCAAATGCTCGCAGGCAAAGGAATAGCACGTTGGCGTGGTTCTGGTCCATTGATATTCAAGGAGATTCCACCAGCAATGACTGGATGAATGAATGTATGTATGCTCATTGCCTATGTACCTGTACCTATCCGATGTCAATATTTTTTGCACTACAGTTTACTGTGTCCATTGGCTTAGAACGCTGGCACTGTGTGATAGATGGGCAGAGGAGCTCCTGCTGGTCGGTCGGGAAATGATATGGACGGTTGATTTTTTTCTTCACAAATCACAATGATGGGTCGGCCAAATGCAAGAGGCCGATGCAAACCAGAAGGTCGGTCATCGGTGCTATGCGGCTCGCCAGGCTCAAATTTATCTCCGACTCTTGCAGCAAGCCCAAGATAGCTTTGAAAGGACAAAGGGGATAGCAAGGGTGGCAGAGTGACCGGGGTCTACAGTGCCACAACTGCATTCGGGTGGTGGTAAGTGCCATAGTGGGCCACAGTGGATTAGTCAATTATATATAACCTTGTGATTCTGCATTTATTACACACAACTTGTCCTTGCTCCAACCATCATGTCCAATTCATCAAAATATGATTTGACCGAATTTACAATCTTGGATGCTACCAACATCCTAGAGTACGCCACTTCTCGTTTTGCGGCCATCTGGATTGCCTGTGACCGAAGCCATGTGCCTCGGTCGCCGGCTTACATAGCCAGCTTTGTCCGGCACCTTCAGTGGGAGGCAGATGTAAGTTCTTCAGCCATTGGCTGTGTTGGTCGGTCAGCGTCATGTAATAACTAATCCATCCTTCAGACATTTGTCTTCCCATACATCAACATATGCATGGTGCTCAATACTCACCCGACCATGACTGACCTCCTCTGCAGCATCATCGGCAGATTCACCTGTCTCCAAACCAGGAACATCACCAGCAAGCAGTTCTGTGCCGAATTCTTCGCGCACTGTTCCCCTCATGACCCTGAACTGAGATCAACTCACAGAGTAGTTCTCAAATATGTTCATGATTGGTGGAAGGATTGTTTTGATACCTTGGGATTCGCCTTGCTGTCCTTGGATGTCAATGAAGTCTTGGATATGATGGCAGATCACTTTGAGCAACTGGTCGGTCATTTCTCTTTTATGCTCAACTGCTACTGATTCTCATTTGTAGCCTATGGGAGCAATGCTTCTGCCCGGCCCTGCAGTCGCCGGTCAAGTGGAAGGTGATCCCCTCCTCAATCAAATTCTGGCAGTGAAGGCCCATGTCCAACATCTCGGCGATTCATTAGAAAGGATGTTGCAGGAGAAGACCATGAAGGCCGCGGCAGCCGCAACAACAATGTCCGAACTTGAAGGGCCCATGGATCAGCTGGAGGAAGCGCTCTTAACCTCCCGCCGGCCATGAGTCAGCTGCTAGTTATTGCACCAGTAATATTATGTATTATACTGGAAATATGAATAGTATTACCTAATGTGATTTGGTCAGTGTGTATATGAGCCATCGGTCTCTGATTTTTCTTATTCTCCAGTCATGACTGCAGTTCCGGCCGACTGTGCGTTGTATACCACATGCATTGCTAGCGAGTTTGTGAAACAGCTGTTTGATTGCAATGTAGCTGGAAACGCACAGTCAATCTCGCCTCCCTTGACGATTGATGTGCCAACCATGCTTGCTTGTCAGCATCTGGCCTGGGTGCTTGCCAATGCCTATTCAAACCCAAGTAGGCCATTCCTACCATTTGCTTGGTCGTTGCCTGACCCATTTCAGTCCAACTTGACCTTGATATGATTAGGTACAATGAGGCCCTCCATAAATGCTCTACAGGGATGGTTGCAACACATGAAGATTCCCTGCTGAAAAAATTTCCTCGTGGGCCAGAATGTTTGCTGGAGAAGCCCTCGGTCATTTTGGACTCGGCCGGTCATATTATCTTGTGGTACCTTCCAGATGCCATTAGCCTGTGGATTCAAGTGAGCTGATTATTATGACCCATCAGGCCGACTGATTCGCCGACTTCACAGGCCAAGATGGAAGACACTACAATTGGTATGGGGTCCCTTCTGATGAAAAGCATGACCAGTGGTCTGGACACCCAGTGGAGAACATTCCCCTGGTAATTTTCATGCCAGCGACCGATGCCAATTGACCCCAGGATGTATCAATTTAGCCCCTTGTTGGTTCATGCAAGGCCGGGAGGTCAGTCTGCTTCTCCACCCGAATGCTAATGCTTATGTAGAAATTTTAGCCACACAGATTACCACCAGGCCGATGGATTCACCCCCAAGGTGTCGGCCGCCCTGAAAGGGAAAGGTGGTCCCGAGATTATAATCTCTATGCAGCACGCAGCACTACTGGCCTCGGCTGCTCTTAGGGTGATGCATCCAAAGTTGTATTGGGCGTTGGTCACTACACATATCAAACTTGCCCGATGGGCAGTGGAACATGGCCTCAGTGATATGAGCACTTGCCTGCAATTTTGGGCCTCGGTGTTTAATTGTGCAGCTGTAATTTGCAACAGACAATGTCCTCTTCACCGAGATCCAAGTTCTACTCCCGAAGGGTTTGATGTCATGAGCAGTGTTGGCCATTATTGTAATGGGCTCATGACATTATCTAACCTCAGTATTCGGTTGCAATATAACTCGGGCGCTATGGTCGGCTGCTCTGGCCACTTTGTCAGGCATGGTGTCACATACACCGGCGATCACATTGTGTGGGCTTGGTTCATACGTGACAGCCTTCAGAATTTTGTGGGGACACCTCGGCCATCGTACGCAACTTACATGGGTGTAGACTAATATGTTTCTGTCTCGGCTTACATAGCGCAGTGATTGTATGATAATAACCGATGGTTTTAACCGACCGACCAGTCCATCCTATAGCATCATGTATTCAGTTACATATTGGCCCATATGATAACATCAGTTCTGTCGGCCAACCTGATAGCATCAGGTATTCAGTATTCTCGGCCCATATGATAATGTCAGGTATGCAGTTTCATCAGCCGACCTGACGGCATCAGATATACCTTTCCGTCGGCCCATACAACAACATCATGTATTCAGTTTCGTTGGCCCATAAGTTTGCATCAGTACCATTGGCCGACATGATGGTGTCAGCTATTAATACATACATGATGCCCTCATGTTGGTTGAAAGACCTGATACCATCATGTCGGCCGAGTATACTGGATGCCTGATATTATCATATGGGCTGACAAAACAAATACCTGATGCCATCATATCAGCCGATAGACCTGATACTATCATGTCGGCCGAATATACTAAATGCCTGATATTATCGTATGGGCTGACGTAAATGAATTCCTTATACCATCAGGTCGGCCGATGGCACTGATGAAACATATGGGCCGACAAAACTGAATGCCTGATGTTATCGTATGGGCCAATGGAAATGAATTCCTGATGCCATCAGGTCGGCCAATGGCACTGATGAAAATGTATGGGCCGACAAGACTGAATGCCTGATGTTATCGTATGGGCTGATGGAAATGAATTCCTGATACCATCAGGTCGGCCGATGGCACTGATGAAAACGTATGGGCCGACGAAACTGAATGCCTGATGTTATCGTATGGGCCGATGGAAAGGTATACCTGATGCCATCAGGTCGGGCCAATGCAACTGCCTGATGTTATCACATGGGCCGAGAATACTGAATACCTGATGCTATCAGATCGGCTGATGAAACTGATGCAAACGTATGGGTCGACAAAACTGCATATCTGATGCAATCACATCGGCTGAGAACATGAATACCTGTTCATGTCTCTCAGCCCATATGATGGCATCATACCCACAATTGCCAGACCAATCCGCACAGGAACATATATGCTTCACCCCTGTCATCGGCCGATCGGTACACACAGTAGCTATAGTGTGTGGGCCCAGCTGACAATATCACACCACCGATTTTACTGGCCCTCGGCCGATATGTTAATGTCGAGCATCCCAATGCATGGGCCCAGCTGTTAAAACCATCACTCCATGAGCCCACCGGCCGGATGTTAAACACAGACATAGATATTCGGTCGGCCAACTTTCGCTGGCCTGTGTGGAACAGCATATTTTCAACATTTGCTGCATGTATAATACATGCAATGTGACTGAATGGGCTCCCATGGTGCAGGAGGCAAGGTCGTGTCCATCTGGTGAGGTGTTTGCGATGGACTGCTGGTTTTCAGCACTCAACAACTGCTCGTGTTCCCTCAAAGACATCTCTAAAACACGCTGTTAGTGCAATATCAGTAGTGCAGCGAGTCTTACTTTTGAGAAGTGATGCTTGGACTGCATGGGCCTCTTGTTGTCGTTTTTGAACGGTGCCTGCACATTGGTTTTGAGGTTTGGTTCCCCCAATGTATACAGTACACTTTCTTGAAACGCCACCTACAGCATGGCGGGCCGTACGCCTCGTCATCGTCGGTGTTGTTGCTGTTGTTTGGATACTGCAAGTCAGTGTGGTGTAAGAGGTGAGAAGTAGAAATTCCCACGTACCTCCTTGCTGTAAGTATGTACAAGCACATGGTAGTGCATAGAGAAGGTGTTCAATGAGAGAGTGCAATGAAATATAATAATATTGTAGAATAAAGGAAGAACAATTGTGAGGGAACGAGCTCGCTGTGGTTGACAACGAGGAGAGAGGTGGCGGCGTTGTGCGCGTTAGCGAGGCAGCAGAGTTGCCAAAACAGGTGATGATGTAACCCACGCACCGCGGGTGAGGACATGAAATACATATGACGCAGAGCGTTATAGTCTGACACTGGCACGCCGTCACCGAAACGTCTCAGGATCCTCGATACAGCAGCTAGACACGCTGGGTGATTGAAGCCTATATAACACATTTCTATTCATCGCGTCTGCTGACCTAGTATACAGGAAATACATGCTCAATCGATTGCTCCTCTAGTCACTCAATCAGACCACAGATAGGGCAAACCGTCATCCCTTCTTTTAAAACTCGGCAGTTCGCCAACCGTCCACAACGTCAGAATGAATGTGAGACCGTGCCGAAATACTGCAAGGGAAGACCGCAGGACGGCTGTAGTAACGGAACTGTTAGCAACGAGAAAATAGAATATCACGGGGAACTCAAGTACCGAATCAGACCCGGGATGAACGTGGGGGTGAAGCTGATTACTTTGCCTTGGTCGTCTTTGGCAGAAGCAATATGCAATGTGGCCAACATGGTCGCAATGGAGCACCACGCGGAGGCATCAGCAGTATACCGCCCTGATTAAAGTCTATCTGTCAGCAAATCTTTTGTAGGATTAAATAACTTGACGAACCTGGACATATACGCCGGCCAAGGCCGAAAATGTATTGTGCGGGGTCATCACTTGTCAACGCACCATTAACGTCGATGAATCTCTCTGGCATAAAACGAGATGCATCGGGGGTACCGCTTTTCATCTCGTGTAACGCCCCTGCAATCAAGTTAGTATGACGAAAGCTGGGAAGAACATATCGGACCATGTGTTGTATGCGATGATTGCGCCTGATGTATCATAGATATTATAAATGATCATTGTTGGTGGGACAAAAACAGCGGACCTTTTGGAATGAAATAGCCGTTGTATATGTCATCACTCGAGGTAGCATGCGGTACGCCTATGAGATCATCTTCAGTACAGACCAGATCACTTGGCGCGGAAGAATACCAAGGGGTGTAACAGGCTGCCATCGGAAAGTTTCCCGCACAACTGCATCAATGTAGGGTAGTGATGCTCTGTCCTCGAATGTTGGCAGCCGATCTCTTCCAATCACCGAGTCAATTTCTGCTTGTGCGCGTTTCTGGACGTCTGGATATAAAACCATGGCCAAAAAAAAAAACCATCACAGTTGCCGCAGTCTGTAACGATGATGAACAGCGGACAACACGATGGAGTTATCCACTTACCGTCTCATATGAAGCTGTGTGATATTGATGTATGTCGAGAGCACAATGTTGCTTGCAAAAAAGCTTACTTACCTATAATAGCGGTAGTAGCTGCTTTCCTCAAGGCATTCTTGAATGCAGGTTTGAATGCCTCCTCTTGCATCTCCATCCGTCGCAAATTTTCTGCAACCATTGAAGATTGAACGTCGAACGAGCTGTCGGCCTTGGCAAAGATCAAATCAATGTCTGGAACCAAGAAAAAAAATACCCACCATGTGCTGTTGCACATATTGGAATGGCACGTCGGCCATTTGATTGACGCGTTCGGTCGAAGTTCGAGCACTACGCTTAATCGAGGATCCCCAGCACCAGTCAGGTAACTTCAGTACTAAAAGTGCATGTTATGTTAATGTTTTCTCGTCTAGGAGAGTTGAGCTCACAGAAGGGGAAGGTTTTAAGCATCAGTGCTCTCTCTGGGGTCAACAAGGTCAAGCCCGGAACCAATGCCTTTATCACAGTCTGTACCACAGGATCATCCCGAGCACTGATATTATAGTCATATACAGTGGACATCACAACAGACAACGAGAATCTGTGAACAGGTAAATGATCGTTCAATTTGTAAAAATCATTTACTGACGTTGCGAAGTGGTCATAATAGTGTTGAGGGTCATCGACTAGGTTGACGACCATCTCACGAGCTCGCCTGATCTGCATTGGGTAAAATTTCAATGCAGATTCAAGACGGAAAGTTTGGTGGAAGAGTCGTCGGCAGAGACGCCATTCATCACCATAACCTATGAATCCAAAGTTGATCGATAAACCATATCTGCAAGAACCTCAGATTGATTGAATAGAAGAATACTGAAAGGACGCACGGCTTGAGTGTAGCTAGGTATGGTCGATCGGAGTAAATACGAGAACGCTTGTCCAATAAGTCTTCTGCGATATGCTGAGAATTGATCACGACTATGTCCTCGTCTAGATTTCGCACGAAGATCAAGTCCCCTGATGTAATGATCTGCACCACATATGCCCTATACTATCTGTTCACGTACCATACATAGCACCCCATTCGGTATAAGTCAACCAAGGCTCCTTAGCGTCAATAGATAAGACGTTCCCTAACAGCGGGAGCGGCACTGGGCCAGGAGGAAGAGAATGGTTATTCTGTCGCTTCTTGATCAACCGCATAAGTGCCGTGACCGCGACAAAGGACAGAGGAATGCCGGCGAGGATAGCAAGCTGACCATTCACTGCGGGGGCCATGATTCGAGCAGTAGTTTGGCAAACTGTACATGATGCAAACGTCCTTATAAGGACGGGGAAGTAGTAAATCGCCGCCTGTGCGTCGATTATGCGTCTCGGTCATGGGTCTTCTATAGTCCAGATATATATTGCTTCTGGCTCAAATCACGTCAACTTCTGCAGCGGCAGCGGATGATCTGGCCAGATGGGGTGAGGAAGGATATGATCATGGAAGGCCAAGACATACACAAGATGTGAAAAAGGTGTGAGATCAGGCGAGCGGCATGCACCGGAGCGTCATGTTTGAATGTGGCAAGTAGCTTGCCTATCTTTGCATTCCAGATTTTTGTTGCATCCTCGTGGTATCCGACAGCCGCAAATTTTGTGAATAGATCACCACCCATACATTGAACATCTTCAGGCCTGTATCTCCGCTCTTGACATCCCACACTCCGGAGGGAGTCACATTATGCGTCGTCCGCCAGGCGGGTGTATAACACCTTGTACCCGGTCTGCTCTTACTCTTTACTGGTCGGGGAAGACATGGTCGGTGTTCGATGACTACAGCAGATCTTGACTATGTATGCGAGCGTTATGCGAGCATTCGCAAGAGATCTTTGCGGAAATACAAAGTTTCCGGTATGCGGAATCGTGTATCTAGTAGATCTCGATATCTATCAGTATCGTGAGCACTGAGCAGGAGGTGCCGTGGACGTCGAGACGGGGCCAGGCTAACATTATGATGAAGGCGCCTGGGCTTTGAAGTTCGATTGGCTGTGATATTGTTGTGTTAATATATACAGCTTGTCATGTTCTGGCCGCCAAGCAACAACCAATGCCTGGACAGCTATCATATTGGCCACAACGGTGGGAAACACATGCAAAGGTATACCTTTCTGCCCTGCCCTGTAGCAAGCAAGTTCGACAAAATGAGGACCACGATGAGAGGAGACACCAGGTAACCCCTCCGCTAGGCCAAGTATGTCAAACTTTCTCTAATTCATGATAATTTCGATAAAATGCCATAGACAACTTAGCGGATTAGAGACTTTTTACTGCCCCACGAAGAGTTTCTTATGTCTCCATTGTATGTACTGGCAAAGATCTGGGAAAAGAACAAGAAAACGGATGGGATAGATTAAAGATGATCATGGGTATACTCGGGAGAGGCACAACAAAAAAACAGCCAGAAACGAGTCCAGCGTCCAACGTTCTTCATTGTTGCGTTAGGATTGGTGTGCAAAGTTGTGTTAGCGACGGGAAGTGCGGTGGAGGACGTGGAGACGGCAGCCTGTGTTTGCAAAGATGTTTGGGCCGCCGCACCAGTAGATTGTTGCGTGGTGTTATTATTGGGACGGCATGAGGTGCTTGCAGCAGGTTTCTTGGATTTCAGTGGAATTATTATCATCCGTCTTTCTCGTGCTGACGCGTTCCTCTAGGTGATATGAGATGGAGTTCGAATATTCGAGAAGAACGAAATGACATACACGTTTGCCCTTGGCATACGGAACGTCGACGACCGCTGAGCCACGCTCACGCAGCTCGATTTCTGCATTACTGAGTCTGGCAGAGAAAAGGTTTCGAACCCAGTGAAAAATGCGGGGTCGTGATGGCGTATTGTTGGGATCGAGTCGCGCAGAAGACTGAGAACATCAAGGTCAGGAAAACCAAGACTATGTAGATGAAGCATGAGCGACGTACGCGAGCACGATGTGGTGTGTCATCAAAGAACCCTTGGGGTACGCGATTGGAGACCTTGATTGGCTGACGGACCGGATGTTGTGTAGCATCAGCCTATAATGCATATGTTTAAATGCAATGAGATTTGTGATGAAAGTGTCACATACAACAAGTAGGGACTTGTCGTGCTGGTCCAATAGAAGTTCGTCGAGGCCAGCTCCTTTTACTATCGCAGAAACATCCCAAGTGTACGCATTTTTGTCGTCGCAGCCAGTGGCTAGTAGCGTTCCATCTGCCGAAAATGACACACAAAACACCATGGTTGTATGTTCGAGGGGCAAACTGATGGGCTGGTTGTTGTCGAGGTTCCATAATTGTGCTGTGTCGTTCCACGATGCGCTTGCGAGGATGCGGCCATTTGGATAAACTGCAATTGCAATGGATCGGACAGAAGTAGCGTGCCCTTCCAGCACTGCTAGCTGCTTCCAGGTTGTACTACTCCATGTCCTAATTGAGTCATCAAATGACCCGGAGATGAGCGTTTTTTCCATTTGGGGTCCAAGCCAGGCACAACACCGAATCTGTGTGTCCTTTGAGAGTAGCGACAAGCTCGCCGGTCTTTGTGTCCCAGATTTTGACCAAGTACTTGTTATCTCCAGTGTTATTCCCAGGTTGTTCGGATCCACCGGTTGCAAACATGGTCGTGTCTAGCGAGTAGACGACTGCGTTCACCCATTCATGCCCTGTCTTGATTGGTGCGAGGATTGTCTCCCCGTTCTTCACGTCCCATTGTCTTGTAGTTCCATCGTAAGATCCGCTCAAGACTCGCTGACCATCTCGACTCCAGCAGACAGTTCTCACAATATTTGTATGCCCCGTCCATTTTGCAATGACTTTGCATGTGTCGATGTCCCACAACCTCACTCCGCCATCATCACTCCCGCTAACCACTTTCTTCCCGTCCGGAGACAATGCTATGGTCCACGCGTCACTTTTCCCGTCCCGCCAGTCATCTCCTATCTGTTTCCCACTCTTCAAGTTCCATACCCGCAGCGAGCCATCACTTGAGCATGTTATCATCCGTTGTCCGCCTGGCAGATGTATGGCGCCTAGGACCACATCGGTATGTCCTTCAAATTTCTGGTGGGGTGTGATCGCTGATGCCTTCTGTATTTCAACAATGGGTGAAGACATAATCAACTATTGGGTGCAGCTCCGTCTTAGCTGCCATCCAACAAAGTCCACAATCATCACTTACAACGATACGTTCTTCAGTTGCTCCCGACGTATTGGCACTAAGAGGCAAAGGGCGTTTAGATCAAAAGTGCACTGGAAGTTTGAGCTGGTACGTTTTACACGTGTTATCCCCGTGTTCGCTTCAAGCATAGGCTGCGCAACTGAAGCGCCCAAGCCTCGTTTCTGATCACGAGTCGCATTCCATTACCTACAATCTTTCATTCTATAATGAAATCACCGCACACCTCCATATGCCCTATTACGACCATCCCCAACACAACTTCATTCTGATATCTTTGTCAACGTCTCAAGCTGTCTCTCCTTACCCAACTACTTCCCGAAGGTGCCCATCATCTCACCAATGCTCGATACTTATCTGCGTGAGGCACATATTTCTGTATATCGGTACATGGGAAACCACCACCCAAAATCGCTGTATCACTCACCATTTCATCTTTCTTCACAAACCTTGCTACAAACTCACCAACTGCATGTGGGATTCCAAGGGGAAACGCAAGGCCAGCAATGATCTCCATAACGAACAGCTACGCAAGAAATTTTGAACGCCGTGCCCCAATATTTTACCTTCTTCAAATGTACTTTGTGTCGTGATTGCCCGATGATTTTGCCTTCTCCAAATGTACTTTATGCCGTGGTTGTAGTGCCCAGAATGCGATCAATGATTCCGCCATCAACAAGAGGTTCACAGAGATAGGACGAGGTTGTTTCCTTCAGATAAGAAGTAAAGATGGAATTCAAATTGGTCAGGCGAGCCGGGGATTGGACCCGACTAGAGAAGCAGAAGAAGTAAAAGAAACTAAATCAAATAATGCGGGACGCGCACGTCACGTGATTCTGTATTTCCTTGTAGTGTCCGGCCCCTTGAACTTCAAAGCTTACAATTACTTTCGTATCGATAGAACGGAAGTTTTTTCTTCTTACTGCTTCCTCTTACTTGTGGAGCTGGATAAACAAAAGGGTCCCAATTCCTTGGTCGCGCGAAATGCCCTTGAATGGTAAGGACACTCTGCCTGGACAGTCTGCGATTTTGAAGGCGAGAGTCCGACTATGCTGCGGAACCCTTGAGCTATCTATACCAGTTGTCTGAACTCAGACGCGCTACTTCTACTTTCCAGCCCCCTCGCTTTCCATTCTCTCGGTCCAGATGGTGAATATATGTATGTATCTCGATCGGTACTTTAATCTGACGGTCTTGCTTAACAGGATGGGCTTAACGGATCATCGCAAGGACGCAAACCCGACGCACAATTTGCAGTCGCTTGGGCAAAAAATTGCGATGCCGCGGGTCCGATCAATGTGCGTATAGATGCAATATCAAAATATCGTGGTCGATATCTCATTAATAGTGAGCCCCGATTCTCTAATTCTCTACTCCCCGCTCAGCACACCTCATCTCTTTGCCATGCTCGTTCATGATAGAGGCATACAGTCGAACTACGAGTCCGCGTGATTCATTCCTGTTCCTTCACCATGGCCCAGATGGATGAAAACGCCTCTGAGCACCAATGAGTTACAGCCATCCGGGGTTCATGCCTCTCGGTCACTTTTTCATCATCTGTGTGCTCAGACAACAGAACTTCGCAAACACGTAGAATCAATTGTCTGGGCATCAAAGACTGCGTTGGTTGCTAGATGTCCCGGCGGATAATTTCAGCTTGCCACTTGGTGCAAGTGTGGGCGGGCGGTTCACTGACTTCCAATAGTGATACAACAAGAAATGAGTTTGTCTACATAAGCCTCGTCTTAAATATACTTTGAAACAGCATAACCTAAATAAATAGCACGACAGACCCTTGACCACATTTCTCCTCCCTGCAGAACACTCGGCAAGCATTTCCCTACACAGTACTGCCAGTTGATATTTGTACATGCTCCTGGAAGACAATCGAATTCATGCTAGTTTCTGCGTCGGAGTCGGCCACGAGCTTAGCGTTATACTCTCGAACGCTAAGGATGAGGCGGGGTCCCAGCACAAACAACTGCACAGCCAATAAAATTTGAAAAGCCATAGTGAGTATCTGAACTCCCATAGAAGTTGAATTCTACAGAAATGATGAGCAGTTGTTACAAGCAGATGTCGGCGACAGGTCGGCGCACCAAGAACTCTGGAGATTCACCAACAAGCTCGAGGCAAGAGACGCCCAAAAAGCTAGCACATATGGAACTTGAGCTGAAAAAGACGAACATATTTACATTACAAGCTCACCTTGCAAAATAAAGCACGTGAGATTTTATCAGCACTCTGAAACAGTCCTCCATGGTCGATCCTGTCGATAGGTCGAGTCGTCGCAGGTCACGGAAATGTTTTATAGCAATCCAGACTGAAAGACACAGTGCAAGGACCTCCCAAACAGTATTGAGCGTCCAAATCATTGAAATCAGAAGCGGGACATCCCCCTCGTAGTCAAAGCCGCACATATACGTTCCAGAGAGTATCAGCTCCTCTGGTGGTTGTCCAATGAGCGGTGTTTTTCAAGTCAACAAGTAAAGCTTACCCCCTACCATATCCTTGACTGCTATTGCCGTGAGTACTCCGCAGGCGATGTTAACAGTCAGGAAGATGACAACAAGGAAGATAAGCATCCTCCTCGATCTCTGATACATGGCATACAAGCGAGTAATCATGATGACTTGCATCGTGTTTCAGTCGAGTCAATATCACTGAGGTATTGCAGCTCACCACCCAGCATAGCAGTTACGACCACACTTGTCCCATTCCTTGCGTAGTTCATAATATTGCCTGAAACACCCGATTAGTGACCACTCTCGTAGTAGGACCAAACGTTGCGACTCACACCTATTGAGTCATTATGTCGAGCCAAGTGAAATGGTCAGAATCTCACTCACTCCTACATATGAGTGTATTCATTGGATAGGAACGAGATGATTGCGGAATACTCACTGCATCTGTCAGGGAGGCCGATGGCATATTTTCTGTGTGCCGCCGGTCAGAAGAATCGAACACAGTGCATATGAGACATACCCAGAAGGTTGATACTGATAACGAGAGATGGGCTATTAGTACAGTGCCAACTTGTTGGCCTCAAACACATACACAGAATATGGTATTCCAATATAGCGTATCTAGAACATTTTGAAGTCAGCACAACTTGCCAACCACGCTATAGCATAATATGAGGTACGAACAAGCAAATACATGACGGTCATGAGAGACCAGCGTTGCCTCTGTCGCGAATTTATTGTTATTTTTCTTCTGACTCGGATATGGGACTCTGTCACTCACCCAGATGAGTTCAATCTATGACACCATTCTTAGCAAGTTGGCTACTCCGGCAATAGCACTGACGTACCTCTTGTCCAAGTGTTAGGACTGGAAATATGATGAGAATATCAGCGGTTTTCGAACACTGTCCTGCTCACCCCAATCGTATACCACCACGACGCCGGCGGCAACTGCAAAACCGCAAGTCAATGTTAGATCGAGACATCACCAACTGATACGACGAACTTATCCAATAGGCGAAAAAAATATTCGAACTGATTATTGGCCACCAACGGGGATCATTTGATACTACGGTCATATTCGAGAGTTGGGTGAGAGCGAGTGCGATATGTAGGGGGGTTATAACGATCTAGTGTTCGTGCTAGATATATCACCATTCAGCGCTCAGCGCTTGTATCGCTAAAATGGGCATGATGAGATGATCCTGCTTCAAGACCCTTGATTGGTTGAAGTAAGTATTGCAAATGTGAATCTAGTAAAATGATTCGATTGAATCAAACCAGCTGCACGCGAATGCAACATGTGCAAACAAGGCAGTGAGGGGTTCTGCATGAAAATATGTAGTCAATTGTGAATTCTCTCAGCCTCGGTGGCGTCACCTGAGGCGTAACAGCTCCCCTTACCGCTCTTATAGAACTACTTGCTCCCATTTGATCAATCTCCTAAATATCAACTTACTACCGTCGCCATCACACTTGCACTGCCCACTCTCTGTCCATCTGAACGTAAATACTTCCTGTGCAAATGAGTCTAATGGGTAATATAGTGATGACCGGCTGGCCAGGAAGCGGACTCATTCAAGTTGCCTTATGGCTTTCACTCGCCGACTTCTTTCCCTCACACTTGATTCGTTTTCACAATCATGATTTCCACATTCGCCCGAGTCAAGTTCAGATGGCAGATGTCACAGTGGTTGTGTCTCCTTCTCCTCCTTTCTCCGTTATGCTCAGATAGATGATAGATCTCGAATGGATATGATGTTTGTAAAATCCTTGGGGCTATCAGCCGTCTAAGCTCAGACACGCTACTTTTACTTTCCTGCTTCACAAAACTTTCGAATCGTATCACGTTCCACATGTTCGGCCCAGATGGATGATTGTGGCACATGTTTTTTGTGGTCAGACAACTGGTGTCTTAGTGATACTTTCTTTACTCTCCACTCAGCACATCACATATCCTTGCCATGCGCATCCGTGATAGATGGAAATTCTCCATCATACTCAGTATCGTTAAATTATGGTTGAACACAGTCGATTGTGGACGACGATATGGCTATCTGACAGTGGTCAGCAATTGGTTGGTTCAATCACCCGAATCAGTTCACTAGTGGTCTCCAGGACGTCGATGCCCTACTTCTACCATTCACACACGATTCGGCACTCATTTCCTGCGGCCCAGATGATGATGGTGGACAGGCATTCTCACCGATCTGACACATTCAACCATCTGGGGTTTCATGACTCCCTCCTGTTTCTTCTTTTGCTTTACATGATAGAGCTGATCAAAGTACGAATGTCAGGATATCATGGTTGGCACCTTACTGATACTTTTTAGGTACGCTTCAAGGATGCCTTCTGACCCGAAGCCCTAGTTCTCTTCTTTGCTCCCCACTCAGCACTTCTATATCCTTATCTCGCGCATTCATTCGTGACAAGATAGAGGCATATACCCATCTCGTAAGTCTCTGTTTAAACCATCATACTCGATATGGTTGAATCACGCTTGAATAGACGTCGATCAGCGATATAGTGCCAGAAACACCCACAGCGAGAATGGACATGGATATCCAATGATCTGATCCGACGCCAAATGTAAATAATCCCCGCCGAGGACAACGACAGCCGACTTTCACCCTTCACGCACGACTCGTTACTACTTCCCTGCTGATGGAAGATATCGGGTGGGCACGCGTCTGGCACGTTTTGCTCTTATCTAGTACGACCCTTGGTCATTCAGCAGAAAAGCCTCGATCGACTCACAGGCGTTATCAATGGTAGACAGCGTGAATAAGGGCCATTAGCGAAGAATCCATTCAGCGACTACCTAATGGCTTCTCAGGCACACCTTAAGCCAACATGTAGGTTCAAAGCCAAACTCTGTCGTATCGCGTCGCTGAGAATTCATTCCATTTAGATAAACTCGAATGAATCCAAACAGAAGCAAGCCGCAAAAACCGTGGAGTGGTGGCAAAATGGTGTATCTGATTGCTGGTGCATTCGACAGATTCTCTCGACAAGTACGCCTGCCCGCCCTCCCTTCAAGTTTGTGGGTCTAACCGAAGCCTTATCTGGCATATCTGATCATCCTACTCTTCGGATTCGTTGTGCGTTCATTTGTACAGAATTGGACTTTGTGGCCATAATCGAACAACCAAGCTTTATATCAACAGTTGAACTCGAGTGTGCAACATGAACGTTGGAACAGCGAGATGGAACCGAGGCAAGACCGAACTTAAGAATTTAGTTTGTGGCCACTGGCTACAAAGTGCGATAACGACGACGTGTATTTTGCCATTTACGCTATGCACGACTCAGGCTTCAGGTATGAATATGCCTCAATGGCTCAAGATAGACAATACAACCGGACTAGAGAAGTAAAAGCAAAAGAAAACTGAAGCAAATAACGCGGGACGCGCCCGTCACATGATTTTGTATGTCCCTGTTCAAAGTGGGCTTCAAAGCTTACAACTACTTCAGAAATAGATTTCAGTTTTTTCTTCTTACCACTTCTACTTACTCGTGGAGCTGGATAAACAAAAGGGTGCCAATATCTTGGTCGCTCGAAATACCTTTGAATGGCAAGCCTGAGGGCGCTCTGCCTGGACAGTTCACGAGTGACTCGGAAGGCAAGAGTCCGAGTCTGATTATGCTGCGGAACCCTTGGGCGATCAGTTGTCTCAGCTCAGACACCCTACTTCTACTTTCCAGCTTCCTCGCTTTCCATTCGTTCGGTCCAGATGGTGGATATATGTATGTATGTATCTCAATCGGTACTTTACCCTGACGGTCGTGCTTAGCAGGATAGGCTCCAACATATCATTACAAGGATGCAAACCCGACGCACAATTTGCAGTCGCATTGGCGGAGCATCACGATGGCACGGCTCCGACCAACGTACGTATGAAACCTGCCAATGAGTTTTTTTTATCCGAACACGCCTTGAAGATTCACTGATGGACAGTTCCTCAGAGGCTCATCTCAACTTCGCCCTGGCCCAAGTGGTTACTGCAACGGAATCGAAATCTGTCTCTTGGACTGTCACTACCAGTGCAGGTTCAAAACCTGCTGACGAGGTTTTTTATATCCGAACACGCCTTGAAGATTTGCTGATGGACAGTTCCTCAGAGGTTCATCTCAACTTCGCCTTGGCCAAAGTGGTTACTCTAACAGAATCGAAATCTGTCTCTTGGACTGTATCAGTGCAGGTTCAAAACCTGCTGATGAGGTTTTTTCTCTCAGAACACGCCTTAAAGATTTACTGGTGGACCTTTCCTCGGAGGCTCATTTCAACTTCGCTTGACCAAAGTGGTTAATACAACAGAATCGAGATATGTTTCTGTCGGAATTGCGCAAGCTCGAAACCTGCCGACCACAAGGTTTATTTCTGTTGGAACACACTTTGTCATTCGCTCATGGATGGATTCCCCGGAGGCTCATCTTAACTGGTCTTAACCAAGTGGTTATCACAACAGAATCAAAATCTGTTTCTCTTGCAGTCGGTTCGAAACCTGCTGACAACATTTTTGCAGTGTATAGATCCTCAGAGCTCCGTCTTAACTAGGCCCAGTTATTGCGCCGAAACCTCCTTTTTATGTGGCAGTCCGTCCATGAAATAGAATTCACCTTCACGCCTCGTGCGGATCGTCTCAGAAATATGAGGTATATCCCTGAGATGTGTACGTGCCAACCTAGATTCTCGACAGACTAACCAAAACTGTCGGGATTCACCACCAAATGATACATTGATGGGGCTGGAGGCCAGAAGGATGCACGCAAGCTAAGGACAGTGAGTCTGACGGTCAGGCAGATGATTTAACCTCCACAGCCTCGCTGAATTCTCATCGATGAACACTCCTTCGGTTGTTGGCTCTTCCAAAGGGGACCGAGGATGATTAGGAAGCTAAAGGTGGGAGGATTGAAAGTGGCAGACCGAGCCATGTCATTCTGATATGTGTAGTTTGCGTGCGCTCCTGTTTTGTGTCGATGCCGAGGCGGAACATACTTTCGATTGCCGCAGCAAGTCCCGGGCAACTGGACGGAGATATAAATAGAGAGGTCAACGCGAAACTCGTTCATGCGAAGCAGGCTTAGAGACAACGGACACAGCATCGCCTGCAAGTTACGCGGCCATGTAATGAGGTGAACAACGACGGAAGGCAAAAAATCCCTTCAAGAAAACAAGCATTAGTAAGGAAATTGGAACAGGGACGAGACAACAGGACAACTGCAATTCAGTCTGGTCTGCCTCGGAGAGTTTGGCACACGAGGAATTCGAGATAGCGCGCGCGTGTTTGCTCGACTGAGTAAAAGGCTCATGGAGAAGTTCAGCAGCAAAGTTACGTCTCGGAGCCACCAAATGCCTAAAGATGAAAAGCAAGTCACCACAATATTCGGTACATAGATGGACACGCAGGAGGATGATGGCCGACATCTTTACTAATTATGCGAATGTGTTTGAATGATTGCCAGTGAGTCTTCTTGGGCCCGACGTTGATGCCTAGCTCATTTGAGTGCTTAAGGTTACCAAGACGCTGGCCACAATTATCCCAATTATAATGGACATATGAGCGCCGATCTACCACCTCTCAACAAGCTCTTTCTTTATGATAACCCCACATTGTGGGCCAAGTGCGTATTTCCTTCCCAATCCAGCCTTTCATTTTCCTGCTCACAACCATGCCAAATATTTCCGTGTTGGAGCACCTAACCCACATATGTTGCCTGTTGGACCAATCGTCTGTTCCTTTGTGTGGGATACTCAGATCAGGTTTTCGTGTTACTAGGAAGGGACGATTGCCTGATTGTTAGACTTGTCACAGCCTATAGAGCGCTCTTCCATCCCTCACATTGTCCTAAAACGCGCAACATGTATTATTGATTTGCGTTTGCCATTGACAGTTGTTTTCACTACCTAGTGAATACGACCGAATGTGGATGATGACCGCTCTCTTTCCAACTTGGACCGCAATGGCGAGCACCTATCCAGAACGCAGAGAGGTGTTGTGTTTATTATTACCCATGTAGTGTGGTATATGCTATCATGAGTTGTACGTGCGATATCCACCTAAACGTAAATCGCACAAAAATATAGCGTGCACATACTGAATGATAATGCAATGATTAGTTGGAGGTATACTGGTTTGTCCACTTGCAGTGCACTGGACACCGCGTCGTGGACTGTTAAAGGAAAGTAAGGTCGCCGACAGCGCGCTGTGATATGAGAAAGATTCGGTTTTCACTTCTTCTCCTCGCTAGTTTGTGCCACCGCGTCGACTGTCCCCATTTCTGAAGCCTGAGTAACGGTAGATGCTGAACTGCCATCCTCAGGCACTTCCTTGGTTTCACTGTTCGCAACACCTCCATTCTCCAGAAAGACCCCAAACGATTTTCTCCCTTCCCATGGCCTCTTCCTCGGCCTCTGTCCTCAAAGTCTCCTCCCTCCCGTCTCTTGATAACTGGCGCAATGCCTCAATATTCGTCGACGCCGGTCGGAAGAGCCTGGGATTGAACGGCGGCGCGCCATTCTCGTTGGCTTCAGGTCCTTCTTCCTCTATCAAACTGTTCTCCTCGAGCATTACGACAGGGCTTTCGTCACCTGCCACCGCATCGTGTGGCTTGCCTGCTGCTACTTCCTCACCCTCGTCTGAAGGGGAAGCAGCATTCTGCCGTTTGCCAAAATCCAGCGCATTCCACCATGCCTCCATCTCCTCCGGTCGGCTGATATTTGCTGGGAAATTCCATGCACGGAACTGCCTGTCTTTCGCAGATGCGAGGTTGGCCCGAATTCTGGAGGCTTCCAGCGAGCTATGCGAGATGGTCCAATGGAGAATCCCTGGAACACCGAAAATATTAATACGCATAATGACGAAATTGGAAGAAATATGTGATGACGCACAGTTCTCGTCAGGTGCGACATCAATCGCTCTTGAGCCCCGTACAGGCTGGCCAGCGACAAAGTTCTGCACCTCTACGTCGATCTGAACGATTGGGGGCTCCCCTGTCTTCACTCGGTTCTCCTCCTCCTCGCCGTCTTTCCCTTGTTCCGCGACCTTCGTTTCCTCCTCTGCCTCCTTCATCTCTACTAGGTTCTTTCCCTTGCCTTCTTTCTCTGCATCCCACTCGACAGGCTCTACCCATATATTCATCTTTGGCGAGCGCTCCCGTGTCTCGAAAGTGCATTTCACGCTCTAACCACGATCACACTAGTCAACAAAAAGTTGGAGAAAACAAAGAAGCGGACTCACCCTCTCCCCAAACACTCCAACAATCTCATCCATCACCATTTCTAGCACCTTCACACACTTCTCGAATATGCGCGCGCCCCTGGTAGGCGCACTATCGCCGTTAACAACACCAGCAGGTTTTACATCTTGTCCAAACAAGCGTGCGTCCATCTCCTCGAGCGAGACGTATTGGAACCCGAAAACGCGGGCCGTGTTATGGTAAGCAACAAATACGCCATCCATGTTGCCGATACGAGCTTGGAAGCTGGTATGGGATGGTGTCAGGTCAAGACGAGAGGAAGCAAAAAGTGTGGAGCGTCAACACACCTGTACTTCAGAAATGCACTTCTAATCAAATCGTAATATTCTTTCTCGAAGCTCTCCAGTGGTCCATGAAGCGTGCGAATGAGGTAACCTGAGTTCTCCTACATTCAACGAAATCCGTTAACCATAATCCCAGTTCAGAGTATGGATGCGAAGACACCGAGCCGTTGGTGATGCATAAATGATGTATCCCAATAGAATCACAATGATGGATGGCAATCAGACCCAAACAAAAAAGTACGCACCTCGAAATTCAGCAAATCCAGTCGGATTGGCACCGCAGCACGGGTCTTGACATCAAAAACGCCTGTTCCTGGTAAGCGCGGGTCGACGCAATCGAGTTGGGAACGCATCAAAAAGCGATTGCTCTGATCCCATGATATCAGTCAGCAAGTCAACCATACCATATAACACAGACGTAGTCAGAAATCCAACGCGCGAAAAAGCGTAGGAGCAAAACGTACCTTGGCATACCGATATGCCTCCCTCCTTTTATCCTCCTCACCTTCTGCTGGGGCGGGCGAGGAACGCAGGAGAGTCTTGAACTCAGGTTCCGGAACTGTCAGGAATTTTTCCAGGAGAGTGCCCTGTGATGCGAACGCAGGCATTAGTTATATGATACGCAGATAAAAATTCACAACTCGCATATCACGGATGAAAAGTGAAAAGGAACAAAGAAAAACAGAACCAAATGCGCCTGCGCGACTCACCATCCAAGTTAATACATTCTTCTCGCTGTCATCATCACCATCTTTGCCGGAGTCGACTGCCCATACACCGTCTTTGTATCGCAACACGATTGATACGGGCATTCGCTGGCCTGGGGTAAAGTTCGTTGGCTGTGAATTGATGTCAGCAAGTATTGGAAGACGTGTGTAAGCAGAATGGGAGGGTATATAGACGCGTCCAGGAACGTGTAGTCAGATGTAATGATTAAGAAGCTAGTATAGACCGCGCGTGAAGGCAAAAGAGTATACGTCGCATGACAAGAGCTTGATATTTGGCACATTTAACCGCACTACGCAACACACGGATTTGGAAGAAAATGATAAAATCCATGCCCAAAAAATCAGTCTCAGGCACCGTAAACAATCACCCACCTCATGCGCGAAAGCGCCGCTCAAAACACTCGTATCTACTTCCTTCCCACCAGAGATGAGGAAGTAAATATGGCTGAGCAGACCGGTGAGGGAGGAAGTGGAACCAACGTATGGTCGAGAGTGGATCTTGGCGAGGGTATGAAGGTCCTATAGAGTGAGTGTTCTAGGATTTTGTAGATAGAAAAAGCAGGGATCGAACGTACATCATCCTGAGAACTCCGTATGAACCCAGTGACGCGCTCGAACGCGAAATCTGTGACTTTGGGTATGCGTTCAAGCCAAGGCGTGAAATTATATACACGTGAGCGTGGATCTTGGAGCCAATGGACGCCGGGGCTAGGAAATAGAGTTAACATGGCATGGAGAATTCACAGGGCAGAAAGACGCACTTAAATAACACCCTATCAAGCCCATGCGCAAGCCGCGCAATAGGCTTGTGTTCCGAGGGTGGGTCAATATCTGCGGATGCACACGTTAGAATCACCTTCAAAACCTTGTGCATGTTGCTGAATGACACGAACCTTCCAGTATGTTATTGATAGAGCCCGGTCCGCTTGACGAAGCAGCATCCAGATCCCGCGCGTCGTCGAAGAGACCCTCTACGCGGCGGGTATAGGGTAGGGGATGGCGTATATGCGGAGGTTGCCCACGTCCCGGGGACTTGATCCCACTTTGTCGTCCATCGCCACTGAACGACCCCTGCAATCCATAATTCTCATTCTCCCCCGGTCGAAGCGCTTCGCATGATAGACCAGAACTGAATGAAAAACAAAACTAACAGTGATTTCATGGAAAACGCACCGTCCTCGCCCCACCCTGTCGTCCAACCATCCTTCGCCAAACGATTGGTTTCCCCAGAACCTTCCAACAGTAGCTGGAGCACCCCTGCACGCTTTGCATCGAACCCTGCAAGGGAAGCACGCGCTGATTCTACAGCAGGTCGTACGCCAGCACCACCTTTTCCCGACGCCTTCTTTTTTCTTGGCTGCTTTTCCTTTTTTCTTCTCTTCGAAACACCTGCCGGCGGAATGACATGCTGAGGGTTTCGAATACACGAATTGATCGTCTCCTCCACGGCACTATCGATTTTTTGTGTGATCTCCTGAATCAAAGGGGGAAGATTGAAAGAAGAGCTGGTGGTTTTAGCATCAGTGTGCTCTTCTGTGGTGCATGAGCTATTTGCGTGGTTGCGCGAGGGGTCACGCTGGCTACGCAGAGAGCGCGACAGTTTCTCAAGAATGTCTCCATGACCACCCTGTTTTGCCTGCTCATCATTCACAGTCTCTCTGCTTCGGCTATCATCCTTTCCCAAGTCCACGCTTTGACTCTGGTCCCGGCTCTGGCTCTGGCTTCGATTTGAGTCTGCGTCCGAGTTGGCATTTAAAACACCCGCAGAAACACCAAATGCTCGTTTTCTGCAAGTGAGTCCACCGATAGCAATGGAGCGCGCATGTAAGTGAAGACGGCGCATCCGAGAGTCGTAGTTCAAAGCTTGAGCCTTTCAACTCGGAGTTTGATGAAAAGCTTTTTCATGGGCACTTATTTACATAACATCAAACCGCTCATACGTCATACATCTTTAACAGTCAAAATCAGATTCATATTGAACGTTTGTTCACAGGTGCTGACACCATTGTCCATGCACCAGTAAAATTTATATATCCAGGCTCCAGAAGCAACCACATTGATCAAGTCAGCAACGAACTGGGTATCGTGCCATCAACAACGGCGCCAATGCGAAAGTAGAATTTAAACACGACTCACTCAGGCTCTCCAGTTGTGTCACTTTGACTGGATGCCAGCCCGTCTGTGGGCAGCCTAAATACAGTGTCATTGATTTTCAATCTATTGGCGTTACAAGGTGAGCAATGTGGTTCAATCCTGGATGCAAAGTAAAGTTAACTGCTCATACTCACATTCCTATCAGCGCATTTAAAGCCTGGGCAACAACATGCATGCTGCCAAAGCAGTAAGGACGACGACAAAGGAGAAATGCATGATTTGTACAAGGTGATACGGGCTTTGCAAAGGGGAATCTTGCTAACTAATGTCACTGAGGTGAGGGGTACGCTAAACACGGCTTGCTTTTATATTGCGAAAATAATCTTGTGGGCAATGCTTGAAGTTTTATTGGTTTGGCAGTTTGGTTGCGCCTGGTGCATACCAATGTGCGTGGCAGAACTTCATGGCGAGGATGGAAGTTCAACTAATATCGGCTTGGCAGATCGGTTGCGCCAGTGGTGAATGACAAGACTGGCAAGCGAGGATGTCGGAAGAACATTTTGGAGGTACATTGACCCAATGGACAAAATTTTTTTAAAAAAAAACTATTAGAGTCCCAGAATCTGCAGATAGTAAGCAATCCTGAATTCCCTCTTCGAGATCCATAACCAGGATATTGTGTCGGGCAAGCTTTACTTGTTGACTTGAAGAACACAGCTCATTGGACAACCACCAGCGGAAGTGATGCTCTCTGGCACATATATATGCGGTTATAGATTTGATGAGGACTTCCAGCTTCTTGCCTCAATGGTTTGGATGCTCAATACTATTTGGCAGGTCCTCGCACTGTGTCTGTCAGTCTGGATTGCTATGAAACACTTCCGTCACCTGCGACGACTCGGCCCATCAAAAGGATCGACCATAGGGGACTGTTTCAGAGTGCTGATAAAATCTCGCGTGCTTTATTTCGCAAGGTGAGCTTGTAATGTGAATGTGCTTATCTTTTCCCCCTCAAGTTCCGCGCGTGTTAGCTTTGTTTATGTCTCTTGCCTCCAGTTTGATTCTCTCCCCCCAGAGCTCAATGTGAGTCGAACTGTCACTGACAACAACTGCTCATCATTTCTGTAGCATTCAAAGCCTACGGGAGTTCAGATACTCAATGGTGCTTTTCAAATTTTATTGGCCATGCAGATGTTCGTGCTGGGACCACGCCTCATCCTTAGCGTTAGAGAGTATCACGCTAAGCTCGTGGCCAACTCCGACGCAGAAATTAGTATGATTTTGATTGTCTTGCAGGAGCGTGTACATGTATCAACTAGTAGCACTGTATAGGGAAATGCTTGCCGAGCGTTCTGCATGGAGGAGATATTTGGTCGAGGATCCGTCGTAGTACTTATTTAAGTTATGGTGTTTAGACAAACCCATTTCTTGTTGTATCACTGCTGGAAGTCAGTGAATCGCCTGCCCACATTTGCACCAAGTGATTATCAGAACATCTAGCAATCCACCCAGCCCTTGATGCCCAGACAGCTGATTCTACGTGTTTGCGGAGTTCCACTGTCTGAGCACACAGAGAAGTGAGCGTGAAGCATGAAGCCCAGATGACTGCAACTCATGGATGCTCAGAGGCGTCTTCATCCACCTGGGCCATGAAGAAGAAAAAGGAATGAACCACGCGGACTCGTAGTTCGCCTGTATGCCTATATCGCAAATGAGCATGGCAATGAGATGAGGTGTGCAGAATGGGGAGTAGAGAATTTGAGGACCGGAGCTAACTATTAACGAGACATCAACCACAATATTCTGAAATTGCATTCATACATATGTTGATCGGACCGGCGCAATCTTAGTGTTCCGCCCATGCGACTGCAAATTGTGCGTCGGGTTTGCGTCCTTGCAATGATATACCGGAGCCCCTCCTGCTAATTTTGCTGATCGACGTCTGTTCGAGAATAATTCAGCCACATCGAGCATGACACTTTAAAACAGAGACTTACGAGGTGAGTATATGCCTCTATCTTGTCACGAATGAATGTGCGCGGCAAGGAGATAAAAGTGCTGAGTAGGGAGTAGAGTTGAAGAGAATCGGGGCTTCGAGTCGGAATGCATCAAGCGCACCTAGAAAAGTATCAGCAAGACGCAGACCGTGATATTCTGGTATCCATACCTTGATCAGATGCACGAGCTCTATCATGCAAAGCAAAAGAAGAATCAAGAGGTAGTCGTGAAACCCCAGATGGTTGAATGTGTCAGATCAGGCGAAAATGCCTATCCACCATCGTCATCCATCTCGGTAGCATGAGAGGAGTTCCGAATCGAGTGTGAAGGGTAGAAGCAGGATGTCGACATCCTGGAGACCACTAGTCAGCTAATTGGGCGTCAATCATCTGATTGGACCAACCCATCGCTGACCACTGTCAGATAGTCATGTCGTCAACGACAATCGTCTGTGTTCAAGTATGATTTAATGAAACGGAGTACTATGATGGTTTTCAAAAACTTACGGCTCGAGTATTTCCATCTATCACGGATGCGGGATATGTGATGTGCTGGGTGGGGAGTAAAGCGCGCTTGACAAAGTATCACTAAGACACCAGTTGTCTGAGCACAAAAAATCTGTGCAATCATCTGTCTGGGCCGAACATGTGGAACGTGATACGAAAGTTTTGTGAAGCAGGAAATTAAAAGCAGCGTGTCTGAGTTTAGACGGCTGATAGCCCCAAGGATTTTACAAACATCATATCCATTCGAGATCTATCATCTATCTGAGCATAACGAAGAAAGGAGGAGAAGGAGACACAACCACTGTGACATCTGCCATCTGAACTTGACTCGGGCGAATGTGGAAATCATGATTGTGAAAACGAATAAAGTGTGAGGGAAATAGCGGATGGGGCGCGAGGAACTGGAAAGAAGGAGTAGCATTGAATTGATGGCAATGATTCGTGAAACCGGCGAGTGAAAGCGATAAGGCAACTTGAATGAGTCCGCTTCCTGGTTAACCGGTCATCACTGTATTACCCATCTGGATTGTTTGTATGAATGGAGTGGGAGGTGCTACAGTGCTGGATCACGAAGAGTAAGAATATATCCTAGAGGAAAGTTCGCGGAAAATCATGATGCTGTAGTACCTTGTGTTGATGAGGTCACCTAGATACGACTAGTCTTGTGACAACGATGAACGTAAAATGTGGCAGTTGAAGACGACACTAATGGGTCCTTTGTCCCTAGACTCATTTGCACAGGAAGCAAACGGGCAGAGAGTGTGTGTGAGTGTGATGGCGATGGTAGTAAGTTGAGACATATGATCAGAGGGCACGGGCAGCGTTGCTGTTGATATTGCATACATAAGGAACGACTGACTTCTTTCTCTTTTGGTCTGACTAGAAGGAGAGACTAATCAGAAATTGAGTTGTCTATGGATTTCGAAGTATATTCAAGGCAGCTCCAGTGAACGGGTGGTAGAATAAGGCATGAATGGGACCCACTATAAGAGAGCGATTAATACGCCTCAGGTGAGACCACCGAGGCCGAGAGAACGCACATTTGCAATACCGTATTACTTCGACCGATCAAGGATCTTCAGGCGGACATACTATATCTTCATCACTGTTGGCGCATGGGACATGCACGTGACGACGCGACGCGGCCCAGCGGAGTATTGGACAGGAATTCAAACCATCATATAGTCGTTCCGTCTCTCTTTTCTCTCTTTCCTCAGTTCGTTGACCACGACTGAGGGTATGTCTCTTGTTTTATTGTATGATACCTAGACACTGACACAACTATGATAAATTGACGTTTGTCTAGTCCTTTTCATCACCAATATTGTCACCCCCGAAGATCGCTGTTGGCCTGAAGATCGCTGTTGGTTCGAAGATCGCTGTTGGTTCCTGATATTCACGTACGTGATATTGGTTTACTATTCAAAATCAACTTTGATTCAATCGAGGACTTCCAGTTTTTGCTCATTCGCACCGCAACACTTGATACGAGTAGCGACGGACGGAAGGACTGCGAAGACAAACGAAAGGCTCAGTCTGATAGGAATCGATTTTGGTATTATTATCAGTACCTGCGAAGTCAAACGAAAGGTTACGGTAAGTGTTAGTGATTGTTAAGCGACGCGGATGCGAGGACTATATACCTGTCCGTGTTAGCGATGGAAGCGTGCTATTGTACGTGTGCGCAGTAAGTGAGCGTAAAGATAAAAGAATGAATATTAATGAATAGTAATAGCGAGACTTGCAGATTACGTCGAAATATCCAACAATACTTACTCCAACCAATCAAGGGTTTTGAAGCAGGATTAAATATCCTTCTCCATCATACCCATTTTAGCGATACAAGCACTGAATGGCGGTATATCTAGCACGAACACTGGATCATTATAGCCCCCAACATATCGCACTCGCTCTCACCTAACTCTCGAATATGACCGTAGTCTCAAATGATCCCAGTTGGTGGCCGATAATCAGTTTGAATATTTTTTTCAGCTATTGCATAAGTTCGTCGTATCAGTCGATGTCTCTATCTAACATTGACTTGCGGTTCTGCAGTTGCCACCGGCATCGTGGTGGTATACGATTGGGGTGAGCAGGACAGTGTTCGAAAACCGCTGATATTCTCATCATATTTCCAGTTCTAACACTTGGACAAGAGGTACGTCAGTGCTATTGCCGGAGTAGCCAACTTGCTAAGAACGGTGTCATAGATTGAACTCATCTGGGTGAGTGACAGAGTCCCATATCCGAGTCAGAAGTAACAAATACAATAAATTCGCGACAGAGGCAACGCTGGTCTCTCATGACCGTCATGTATTTGCTTGTTCGTACCTCATATTATGCTATAGCGTGGTTGGCAAGTTGTGCTGACTTCAAAATGTTCTAGATACGCTATATTGGAATACCATATTCTGTGTATGTGTTTGAGGCCAACAAGTTGGCACTGTACTAATAGCCCATCTCTCGTTATCAGTATCAACCTTCTGGGTATGTCTCATATGCACTGTGTTCGATTCTTCTGACCGGCGGCACACAGAAAATATGCCATCGGCCTCCCTGACAGATGCAGTGAGTATTCCGCAATCATCTCGTTCCTATCCAATGAATACACTCATATGTAGGGGTGAGTGAGATTCTGACCATTTCACTTGGCTCGACATAATGACTCAATAGGTGTGAGTCGCACCGTTTGGTCCCACTATGATGGTGATCACTAATTGAGTGTTTCAGGTAATAATATGTACTACGCAAAGAATGTGACAAATGCAGCCATAGCTGCCATGCTGGGCGGTGAGCTGCAATACCTCAATGATATTGACTCGATTGAAACACGATGCAAGTCATCATGATTGCTCGGTTGCATGCCATGTATCAGAGATCTAGGAGGATGCTTATCTTCCTTGTTGTCATCTTCCTGGCTGTTCACATCGCCTGCGGAGTAATCGCGGCAAGAGGCCTCAAGGATACTGTAGAGGGTAAGCTTTACTTGTTGATTTGAAAAACACCGCTCATTGGACAACCACCAGAGGGGCTGATACTCTCTGGAACGTATCTGTGCGACTTTGGATATGAGGGGGATGTCCCGCTTCTGATGTCAATGGTTTGGACGCTCGACACTGTTTGGGAGGTCCTTGCACTGTGTCTTTCAGTCTGGATTACTATGAAACATTTCCGTGACCTGCGACGACTCGGCCCATCGACAGGATCGACCATAGGGGACTGTTTCAGAGTGCTGATAAAATCTCACGTGCTTTATTTTGCAAGGTGAGCTTGTAATGTAAAAGTGTTCGTCTTTTTCAGCTCAAGTTCCACATGGGCTAGCTTTTTTTGCGTCTCTTGCCTTGAGCTTGTTAATCTCTCTCCAAAGTTCTTGGTGCGCCGACCTGTCGCTGACGTTTGCTTGTAACCACCGCTCATCATTTCTGTAGAATTCAAATTCTATTAGAACCCAGGGTGCTTTTGAAATTTTATTGGGCGTACAGTTGTTTGTGCTGGGACCCCGCCTCATCCTTAGCGTTCGAGAATATCATGCAAAACTCGTGGCCAACTCCGACGCAGAAACTAGCGTGAATTCGACTGCATTCCAGGAGCGCCTACATGTACCAACTAGCAGTACTGTGTAGGGAAATGCATGCCGAGTGTTCTGCAGGGAGGAGAAATGTGGTCAACGATCTGTCGTGCTAGTTATGCTGTTTCAAAGTATATTTAAGACGAAGCTTATGTAGACAAACTCATTTCTTGTTGTATCACTAGTGGAAGTCAGTGAACCGCCCGTCCACACTTGCACCAAGTGGCAGGCTGAAATTATCTGCAATGTCTAGCAACCAACCCAGTCCTTGATGGTAACTACGGTTGGAGTAGCTGACACAATGATTCCACGTGTTTGCGGAGTTACGCTGTCTGAGCACACAGATGATGAAAAGGTGACCGTGAAGGATGAACCCCAGATGGCTGTAAGTCATTGGCGCTCAGAGGCGCATTTGTCCATCTGGGCCACGGTAAACTCGTGGTTCGCCTATATGCCTATATCGCAAATGAGCATGGCAAAGAGATGAGGTGTGCTGAGCGGGGAGTAGAGAATTAGAGAATTGGGGCTCACTATTAATGAGACATCGACCACGATATCTGAAATTGCATCCATACGTACGTTGGTCGGAGCCGCGCCATCGTAATGCTCCGCCAATGCGACTGCCAATTGTGCGTCGGGTTTGCATCCTTGCAATGATCTGTTGGAGCCCATCCTGCTAAGCACGACCGTCAAAGTAAAGTACCGATCGAGATACATACATATATATATCCATCATCTGGACCGAATGAATGGAAAGCAAGGGGACTGACAAGTAGAAGTAGTGTATCTGAGCTGAGACAGCTGATAGCCCAAGGTTCCGCAGCATAATCAGACTCGGACTCTCGCCTTCACTCGTGGACTGTCCAGGCAGAGCGTCCTTGCCATTCAAGGGTATTTCGCGCGACCGAGGTATTTGGACCCTTTTATTTTATTTACTCAGTTCCACAAGTAGGTAGAAGCGGCAAGGAGAAAAAACTGAAATGGTGCAAATTCGGTGATTAGCAACGTTCCCAATCTTCCGCATTGTTCAAGTTTTTGTTGACATCTTTCCTACGGCGAACAGTCGTAGAAGTGGAGGAAATATGCGAAGCCTCTGTAGTCATGATCTTGTCCTGAGAAAAGGAGGAATTTCTACAGCACATTACATACGGCATATGTAATGGCTGTTCACCAGATGATGTAATCCGTGACATTTTATTGCGAACACGACTCGGATCTGCTCGTGAGATGGGTGATATTACCAGCAAACGGGACTTGAGCAGACAAGGTTGAAGACTCACATGTACATCGTTCTGCCATGAACCATGCGGTAATTCCGACTTCTAAGCTTACCATAAAACTTAATTAAACTAGTGGGGGTTCCAGCTGTTGGTAACCAATGAAAGTCAATTGAAGTTGATCGAGGCCTAGGCTGCGGGAGTTTTATTAGTATCTAATTCCCACGCACCATGAAGTCTGTATCATCATTAATAGTATCACTGTGACCTTCAAAGCTTCAAACTTCAAGGACTCGGCAGTCGAGCACGGAGCACAGTCCACCATGACCTTTATATCTTCGATACTCTCCTGGTTTAGTAGGTAAGCTAGCCTTCTCTTGAAGTGGACAAGGCTTCACATATTGAATACCGCAGCATATTCTTCTCCAAAGCCGCTGAAATATCTGTGGTTGGGCTGCAGGTGCGTGGATTCGTATATTCCAAGTTCAGAAAATGGTACTGACATGCCTTCACGAAGGCTTCTGGAAAGACTTCGTTTGTGAATGTCATCGGGTCGGGGCAGGTGCGACTGTTCTATTCACGGGCTTTTCCTTCGCCCAAGCGGCTTACCCTCACTTAGTGGTCGGAAGACGTTGTTCCAACTGTCGCATTCAACTACCGCAAGGTACGCAAAGGCGCTGTAACCCTGAAGATATGGGATGTCGCAGGACAACCCAAGTTTCGCTCAATGTGGGAGCGTTATTGTAACGGAGTTGATGCTGTCGTGTACGTCGTCCGCTTCTTTGCGTTTGATAGTCGGTTTCATTTGCAGAATGCTCTCTCGCCGCAGATTCGTAGTTGACTCAGCTGATGTAGGCTTTACTATGTAATTGGTAGGTTTCAGCTCTAACGCCCATGCTACTTACAGCAAGAGAAGTTCGACACGGCACGTTTCGAATTGCACCAACTATTAGCGCAGCCGAATCTAGCAGGTGTCCCTCTTTTGGTGGTGAGTTTACTACCTCGGGGCATCTCTAGCGTTGCTTACATTGACACAGCTTGGAAACAAGAATGACGTTCCTTCGCATGCATCTGTCAAGGATCTTATACACGACCTGTGAGTAGAGAGAGTCTTTAGTACTGCATACCCACTCATCTTGAGGGAAGTCAACTGGACAAGATACAAGACCGCCCAGTCTCAGTACGTCTTAGAATTATTGTATGCTTTCAACGCACTCATGAGATATCGTTTTAGTGTTACTCGGTGAGTCTTCTCATACTGGATACCGTGTGCGCTAACTCTCTATCAGTGTTCGATGAAGAGCCAACATAATTTGTGCGTTCCACTTCTCTATCATGAACTCATCTTGAACCTCGAATTCTTGACTAATTGTACGATCGTCTATTCTAGGGACATAGTCCTCCGCTGGCTCTCAGATCGTAGTCATTAGGTGCTATCCCGACTCACCACATGGTTTATGGAACGCAGTCAACATTACCCATTTTCAGACATCTAGTAGGATTGAAGCATATTGTGTGACATTCGTATTAATGCAGACATATTATTATGAGATCACCCACGACTTGAGAAGGCATGGGGACTGGGAAGAACTGCGTCAGATTCAAATTTTTTGAACGAATTAAATTGACGATACCTGACTCATCCCTCGAACCCCGCACCGCGTTGCTCAATTCATGATCAGCGATTGCCTTTCAGCTCCCTCATATTGTTGCGCATACCTTTCCCCACTTGGTATATGATGAGATAGCCCACGTCGCTCACTTTCAAAATACTCTGGAAATACATGCACTCCGAACCTCCATTACGTATATATTCAGCTGGGAATCACGTCCTAACCCCGCAGAGTGCACAGTCACCCACATTGTTTCACAGAACAACCTCACTATAGGAGCCTATTCACGTTGTGATTTGCACTTGTAACACACAACTCAACCTCATATGGCATCGATGAGCTTGCAGGTGTTTCTAGTCTCAATTTTTGTGTGGAGTCTGTTCGTAAGTATATACGCTACACATTGCAAAGTGCAATTGCCAAACGCGTGGAGCTCCGAGCGAGCGACGGCACGAAGTACCACCCACGAAAATGTGTCCAGGGTTGACATACAAAGCATGTGTTGGTATGAACGAGCTGCCCAGGCAGACCCTTGTTAGAATTGGCCTCTCGGAGAATTTGGCGTAGTGCGCTCACAGCTACCAGCCACTACGGTTTCGCATACGGTGAATTTTGCACTGATACAAATGGAAGAATGATGATTTACAAGGCTGATCACAGACGTTCGCAAGCACTAGCAAACTCCTTCAACAAACCACCTGCGCAGAAGAGAAATTGGAGGAAGATATAATTGCTATTCGAGGTGTATGTTGGAAGGAGAATGACACAGGTGGTGACTTTCTCGATGACATCGCTCTCGCTGGCGAAAATATTGTTGCCACTTGCCGATTCCACTTGATTGATGTGTCCTGCCGTCCTCTGCATCATCGGTGTCCGACGCAAGCAATCTCGGACGTCTCGCGTCTGAATGCCAGATCTGGTACTTTTCCATACCACTGAAAACGCGATGGGCGAGCCTGGTTGGTCTCAGATAGACTTTGTCCAAAGATTTCAGTGATATCTCGAGTGTCGCCACCTAATAATATGTCCGCGTGCTCGCGGACACTGCAAAAACTGCGCACAGAGGGCCGCATAGATGAAGAGCTGCCAATGTAAATGTTGAGTTTGAAAGACAACAATGCGAAACATGATGACAAACTGCATGTCGCTCATGTAGATTACGTTAATCGGTATGTCACTGGAAGAAGCCATCCAGTAAATCAGCCTGTCCTTCACGCCACGTATCCTGCGACTGAACGTCTTGCCTCAGAGCAATTGTCACTGTCGGTGATCATGTGATGTAACAGAAAACACTCACCTTAGCTCCTGTGCATGAATTCAACTCGGCAACACATATGTACATCCGCTGCATTGTTCCTACCGCGAGTTTCCCGCAAAGAAGTCTCACGGAACAAACAAAACAGTAAATGTATAAGCTTGCACATCAACACCAAGGAATCCCAGCGCATTTGGAATGGCAGTGGTAACTAAAGAAAAGTCCAATCGACCATCACGCTCCCTAATCCTCTTCCATCCGCTCTTCGGCACCTTCCTGTCTTGCTTGTTCAGCGATAGCAGCGAGGAACGCGCCAACACCCGTCGCAGCACTCTCAGGGAGACCAAGGCTCCTCACAAATTCACCAAGGGCACCCGTCCGAAGTGCCCGATCAAGCTGCGCCACAGCCGAGCGGAAAGGTGGAGAGTTAGTCGTACGCTGCAATATCTCTACCACCTGTTGTGGTGTAGCGTCTGACGATGGGATAAGTTCAGGTGGAAGGAGAGGGAAGAGTGCTGGAAGGAGTTCAGGGTGCGATTGGAAAAGGGGAAGCAAATTTTGTGAGGACAGGACGTCTGTCAACCAAAGCTCTGTGGAATTTGTTAGTGATGATGCAGTGTGATTGAGAAATAGAGATACCATCTTCACTCGCGAAACCGGTCATCGAGCTAACAATCCCACGAAGTTGTGCGAGTTGTTCCGGGGTGGTACCCGCTGGTGTGGAATCACTAGTCGCTGGAACGATTGGCTGTCTAGATATTATGATGTACATGAATCGCCCACCATTCTACAATGAAAGTAGGACCTACACTGTCGAGGGTTGAGGAGTGGATGTACCAGCAGTGGATGTAGAGGCTTCCGACGCTGGGTAAACGTTGCGCATATCCCAGATAGCGATAATGTTGGGATCAGCGAGGGTTCTGTTCAAATTCGTCACGAATTCCTCATCACGGCGTGTTGATGAGTCCTGCATGAGCATCAGATATATATATAAATAATTCAGTGGCAAAAACACACCTGCAGCCAGAACTGACATAGAGGGAGCGAAGTTAGCCAATGAAAAACCAAAAGCTTGGAGTGAGACACATACGAAATGCTTTTGGTCGGAGCTCTCAAATTTGAGGACATAGGTCCTGCCCCAGCTACTTTGCGGGACCTTTTCCAACTTTGCATCGCCAGGAAACAAGATTAGATCCTCGCCGACTTCCCCTGTCGTTCGGTCTTTCCACATGAAGTGTATGAGGCCGTCCTCATTGGTCAAGATAATCGCGCCTTTGGTGGGGGAGGCATCGACGAAGTTGGTTCCAGCGCGTCGAAAAGCACGACCAGCCTTGAAGGCAAGGATAGTTCGGCCACTAGTACTAGTGAGGTCGACCGACATTATAAACGCTATGAAATTTAGACTGCTGTAAAGAATCTGTTCAAACGACGCGTAATGCGCGTCGGAGTTTGGAAATTCTAAAGATGGTACCCAAGTAAACCCAGGACTCCTGAAAATAGGTGTACAGGGCCCAGGCCAGATGGACAAATTTTGCTCAAAATCAGGGCTTACAGCCCCAATACGAGTCCTAGTCACCATCCGGACATGCCAGCTGTAGATGGGATAAGGCAACATTAATATAATGTAAATTCAAGTAATTCTGCTCCCTACACTACTGCTACCTAGTAGCTCCGGTCAAAGCTCTAGCGGACGTTGCCTTCCTCCGACTCTTTCCTCCGCTATTGGCGCTCTTTCTACCGTTGCACGCGGAAAATCTCTAGTTATTTCGGGCTTGCTTTACCTTCCTGGTTTAAAGGGTGTGCCTTCATTTGCGGCATTGCCTTGCCCGCGGCTTAGTAGGATGGGAGTTCTTCATCCTCCCCTCTGCACACACCTGGTCTCCATACGAATCTCTGATGAGAAATCTGACGAGACTGTCTGTAGCCCACGCCCAACTCATGGAAGGCCTGTCTTCTGTTCACATTACCTAAGTTTCACTCTGTTTCCTTGCCCCAGTTCACTTGGCCACACCAGAGCTCGAGACAGTATATGGCGGGTGTATACCTGGCATAGCATTCTGGCACATCTTGTCAATGTCAATGGCATTAGTGATGGGAACTTTTTGCGTTAGACAACGCCCCCCCTCCCACTGACCTGGGAATTATCCTTCTCCACGCTTAGTCTCCTACCAGTTCCGACACGCCAGGTACAAGGTGTGGTAAGCGATTCTTCGTGCAGTTATAACGTCCGCTACGTGCATTGAATATTTACCCACAAATCGCTCTAACCATGTTTCCTTCAGTTGATGGTCGCCTTGCTATCCTCGCTGCTTTACCCGCATCCCTTGTTGTCATAAAAGCCTTCACGAGGTTCATTGATAACAGAAAGAACAAACCTTGCCTTCCTCCTGGCCCAACGCCCCTCCCACTGTTAGGAAACATCTTATCTATCGACACCAAGGAACCTTGGTTGACTTATACCGAATGGTGTGTTACCTATGGTACGTAGGGAGATAATATAGTGCATATGTGATGCAAATCATTATATCAGGAGACTTGTTTTTCGTGCGACTTCTAGGCCAGGAAGTCGTAGTGATCAATTCTCAGCACGTTGCAGAAGCGTTAATGGACAAGCGTTCTCGCATTTACTCCGATCGACCTCACATAGCCACACTCGAGCCGTACGTTCTTCTAATATTCTTCTTGTCAATCATTATGGAGTACAGGCAGGTTTGGTTGGTCGGTCGTCTTTGCATTCACGGGATATGGTGACGAATGGCGTCTTTGCCGACGACTCTTCCACCAAACATTCCGCCCCGACTCTGCACTCAAGTTTCGTCCTATGCAAATCAAGCGGGCTCGTGAGATGATCGTCAACATAATTGATGACCCTCAACACTATCATTCTCACTTTGCAACGTCAGTCGATGTGTTTGTAAACTTCGGATGATTATCAACCTGTTCATAGATTCTCGTCATCAGTTGGGATGTCAGCGGCATACAGCTACCAAACTAGTCCTCGTGATGATCCTCTGGTTCGAATCGTAGAAGATGCATTGGCTATTGGCCTTAAGGTGATGACCCCAGAGAGAGCAACCCTACTTAAAATGTTCCCCTTCCGTGAGCTCATTCTCGTCGGTGAGAAAGACTTGACATTCCGCGCTTTGATGTAGTGCTGAGGCTACCTGACTGGTGCTGGGGATCTGCGATCAAACGCGATGCTCGAATTTCGACCCATCGGATGACTGAAATGACGGACCTGCCGTTCCAATATGCGCAGGAGCATATAGTGGGCATTTTTTTTAGTCCAGTTCTGTACTGAATGTTGATCATGTGCTTGCCAAGGCCGAAAACTTATCCCTCGGCCAGGTTTCAATGGTATCAGACAATTTGCAACGGATGGAGAAGCTAGATGAGGCATCAAAACCCATCTTTAAGACTGCCTTAAAGAAAGCAGCTGCTACTGTTATGGTAGGTTCGTCACCTTTTTGCAAGGGATGTTGTGCACTTTGATAGATATCTGTGCAGGTTCATATGAGACGGTCAGTAGATGTCCCAATCATATTGTCTGCTGCTCAACCTCTTCAGACCACGTCGACCTTGATGACTTTTGCTCTCGCCATGGTATTATATCCAGATGTTCAGAGACGCGCACAAGCGGAGATCGACTTGGCGGTTGGAGGGGATCGCTTGCCTACTTTTGAAGACAGACCCTCGCTACCTTACGTTGAATCAGTCCTGCGCGAAACTTTGCGATGGCACCCCCTTTTACCCATTGGTATTCTTCCTTGCCGAGTGATCTCGCCTTCACTAAACACAATCTTACAGGCGCACCGCATGCTACCTCAACCGACGATATATTTGATGGCTACTTCATTCCCAAAGGTCTGCCGTTTTCGTCTAGTGAACGAATATTTAGTGATATCGTACGTCAGGAGCGGCTGTGATATGCAACATATGGTCAGATAGATCATCTCCGGATATCAGATTTTTGATGTTATATTGCAGGGCCATTTCACGGGATGAAACGCGGTACCCCGATGCATCTAGCTTTATACCAGAGAGGTTCCTGGACGTCAATAATGCGCTGACGGACGATGACCCTGCTAGATATGTTTTCGGCTTTGGCCGGCGTGGATGTCCAGGTGGGTTGAGTTGTTTCATTGCCCTATGGAACTAATACATTATTTGATCAGGCCGATATGCTGCTGATGCCTCTGTATGGTCCGCTATTGTTACTATGTTGGCCACGGTGGAGTTTTCTTCTGCCAAAGATGACCAGGGCAAGGTGATCGAATTCACCCCCCCGATTCACGACGGGACTCACTCAGTACTTGGATTTTCCCGTATCATTCCATCTTCTCGTCACTAACAGGTCCATTGCTTTAGCTGCCCTGTGGTCTTCCCTTGCAATATCTCAGCGCGCTCTCGCGCCCATTCAGAACTTGTAGATGTTTTCCGAACTGGAGTATGACATGTTTTCAGGTGAATAAATCGTATACATATCTTCCTTCTTTCTTCACTGCTTGACTAATCTGTCAAACACTCGACAACCCTTTTATGACCCCTTCTACTCATCCCCGTTTTGTGTATGTGCTATGTGAAATATGTAACATGTATTGGCATTCAACTACTTGCGCGTGCGCGAGACGCAACTTTCATTTCCTGTACAGTCGACTCCTGAGTACTAAGTACCTCGAGACAACGAAACTCACACACCCTATAAAGGAAGCTATTCAAATCTGGCACCCTCATTTGCTCGTCTGCTTGTGATAACACCATTTACTCATTCCTTCTCATGATCTCCCGCCCCCGCCATCTTGGATGGTACCCAATTTCGTGTTGAGGGTGGAGGACTTGTCGCCCCGAGGAAGCACTCAAGCTTGCAGTTGAAGCATCTTCTACCTGGCTGTATATCCCGCTCATGGCCCCAACCCAGTGAGTACTACGCATTCTCAATTCACTATAAATGTGTTGTGAATCATTTACATTCCAATGGTCAAGACCATTACACTCGCTCTCGGACCGTTCAATGGCATGGCATACACTTTGAGCACGCGTGAGACGAAATAGATCAATTTCTCCCTCAATTGGATCAAATCATCAGAGGCTCGCGCACGACACGATATACTAGGCGTGCTGGTTCACGAGGTCGTGGATTACTATCGGTACAATGCAAAAGAGACATGTCCAGGGTGTCTTATCGAGGTGTGCACGTTTTGATACCATCCTTTGAGTTCAAATTTTGTCTTCCGAACTACTAGTAGATTTCGTAAGGCTTGCCGCTTCACGCTGGTTTTGCACTACCACACTGGAGACCTAGAGCTGAGGTGAAGTAGGACGCAGGGGCGTACTTCCTCGACTAGATCGAGAAGCGCTGCAGCGAGGGGACTATCTGAAAACTTAAGGAGAGAGCATGTGAGATATACATAGTTATGTGATAGTACATATAGCTTCATCGTGATACTATAACAGAGAGTAATCAACATGTACAGGTCCGATCTCTTCAGAATCTTTCAGGCAGTCCTTCGGCATCAGCGTCATCCATTTCTTACTTTGAATTTCTGGACCTTTTGTGCCGAAGTACCTCTCGCTCTCGAAGTTCCACTCATAGTTCGAGCACACCCAGTTTCCCAAGCCATCGCAGTACTCTTTCATCCTGCGAGTCAATGGGCTCTCCCCATTTTGGAACGGCTGCCATCGCCTCCAAGAACTTTTTCTGGTTTTCCATATGGAGATCCGCCACCCATAACGTGGGCCAGTGTGGCACTGTTGAAGTCCGTATCAAGCTCGCGCATGACAATCGTTATGAAGTTGTGACTAGCATCTCCACGTGCTTGCTCCAAATTGTAGCATGCAATATCCTGTCATACATTTTATGATGTACATATGAGTCGCCCACCATTCTGCAAAGAAAGTAGGACCTACACTGTCGAGGGTTGAGGAGTGGATGTACCAGCAGCGAATGTAGAGACTTCCGACGCTGGGTAAACGTTGCGCATATCCCAGATAGCGATAATGTTGGGATCAGCGAGGGTTCTGTTCAAATTCGTCACGAATTCCTCATCACGGCGTGTTGACGAGTCCTGCATGAGCATCAGATATATATCAAAAGAATTCGGCGGCAAAAACACACCTGCAGCCAGAACTGACATAGAATGAGCCAATAAAAAACCAAAAACTTGGAGTGAGACACATACGAAATGCTTTTGGTCGGAGCTCTCGCCGAATTTGAGGACATAGTTCGTGCCCCAGCTACTTTGCGCAACCTTTTCCGACTTTGCATCGCCAGGAAACAAGATTAGATCCTCGCCCACTTCCCCTGTCATTCGGTCTTTCCACATGAAGTGTATGAGGCCGTCCTCATTGGTCAAGATAATCGCGCCTTTGGTGGGGGAGGCTGCGGTGATAATATCTTTAAGAGCGGGAGGGACGAGGAGTCTATAAGGACAAGTAAAATCTCAGTCTCTTGAAAAGAACTTCGTTAACGGTATGTCTACCTATAAGGACAAGTAAACTAGGAGGCGTTAGACTTGGTAAATACAGGTGACGATTTGGACTTACATCTCAGTGTCTTGAAAAGAACTGAGATGTCCATGCGCTACTACTGGCGCTTTTTGTAGTAAGTACGTTGACGACTGAATATATAAAAGAGAAACATGAATATTTGCAGGACGCGAGCCGACCTCACTGCGTCGCTCGCCCTTGTCCATTTTGACTTGTGCTCGTACCTCTCACTCATTGTCCGTTCCTGTATTGGATCTGTCAGTGTTCCTCGTCTCGGATCTCTCGGATTCCAACAGAGGCATCGACGAAGTTGGTTCCAGCGCGTCGAAAAGCACGACCAGCCTTGAAGGCAAGGATAGTTCGGCCACTAGTACTAGTGAGGTCGACCGACATTATAAACTCAGCTGGTCGTCAAACGACGCGTAATGCGTATCGGAGTTTGGAAATTGTGAAGACGTCTTCTCAATAAGTAACTTAAGTTATTATGTAATGGGTTCGTGTGACAGGCGTGAGTTTCGGTTTCATAAAAAAAGTGAAAAACACGCGCTATGAGGTCTAAGTATCATACCTCGCTGGCCGTGATGGTGCATTTTCAAGCGTGTCCATGATAATCTGTATTTGCAGATATCCATGGCTATGTACCAATATGCAATGCCATATTTTGATACTCATCGACTCAATCACCGAGCTTTCAGTCTCCCGTAAATATATGTGCACCTCTTCCTCCCCGTCTCAACGTAGCCTCCCCTCCATCAGCACACATTCCTTCTACATCAACCTCGTTTCCGCCCCCCTCTTCCACAGCCACGCCTTCAACACTATCCACACTATCCACTAGCTGGGTCTCGGCGCTCCTGTAATTCAGCGCCTAGTAACGTACCTCAGTCAACCTACATGCATGCAGCGCATCAGACGTCCAGCATCACGCGTGGCACCCATTTTGGCGCTCAGCCCTATATTCCATCATCCGGTGCCTCTGAATCTTTTCGGAAGGAGGGAGGGCACAACAGTGACACTGAGCGAGACCACTGCAAAGCTCATTCGCGATCTTTTGTTCAATGCATGCATTCAGTACTCACTCATATACTCTTCCAGATTTGTCCCCACCTTCCAGCGCTCACTCATCTTCTACGTATATGGACCCCGCTGTACTCGCTCGACCAGCACGAGCGTGCCATATTTTGCAGGTACCAGCTGAGTATAATTACATTGTCTCGCATACTCACTTGTTGGCCACCCTTGTTCAATTGTTCATCCATCACTAATACTATCAATTAAATCTCGTACATTCTTCACGTAAGGGTGTCTGGATTTTGTTTGTTCAGGGCTTGGAAGTCGTTCGAAAATGATAATCTCGGTAAGTACAGGATGTGGTAAGCGGCCACTCTCCGTGCACTTATAACGTTTGCTTCGTGCATTGAAAATATACCCACGCATTGCTCTAACCATGTTTCCCTCAGTTGATGGTCGCTTTGTTATCCTCGCCGTCTTACCTGCATCCTTTGTCTTTATCAAAGCCTTCACACGGTTAATTCAAAACAGGCAGAACAAACCTTGCCTTCGTCCTGGCCCAGTGCCGCTCCCACTGTTAGGGAACGTCTTATCTATCGACACCAAGGAGCCTTGGTTGACTTATACCGAATGGGCTGCTGCTCATGGTACGTGGGGAGATAGTATGCTGCATATGTGATGCAAATAATTATATCAGGAGACTTGGTTTTCGTGCGACTTCTGGGCCAGGAAGTCGTGGTGATCAATTCTCAGCACGTCGCAGAAGCCTTAATGGACAAGCGTTCTCGCATTTACTCCGATCGACCATACTTAGCCACAGTCGAGCCGTACGTTCTTCTGACATTCTTCTATTTCATCATTATGAAGTACAGGCAGATTTGGTTGGTCGGACATCTTTGCATTCACAGGCTATGGTGACGAATGGCGTCTTGCCCGACGACTTTTCCACCAATCTTTCCGTCCCGAATCTGCACTCAAGTTTCGTCCGATGCAGATCAAGAAGGCTCGTGAGATGGTCATCAACTTAATTGATGACTCTCAACATTATCATTCTCACTTTGCAACGTCAGTCGATGTGTTTGTAAACGTCGAAGGATTATTAACCTGTTCACAGATTCTCGTCATCAATTGCGATGTCAGTGACATACGGCTACCAAACTAGTCCTCGTGATGATCCTCTGGTTCGAATTGCGGAAAGTGCATTGGTTATTGGCCTTCAGGTAATGACCCCAGAGAAAGCGATATTACTTAAAATTTTCCCCTTCTGTGAGCTCATTGTTGTTGATGAGAAAGACTTGACATTCCGCGCTCTGATGCAGTGCTGAGGTTACCCGACTGGTGCTGGGGATCCGCGATCAAACGCGATGCTCAAGTTTCGACCCATCGCATGACTGAAATGACGGACCTGCCGTTCCAATATGCGCAGGAGCACATGGTGGGCATCTTTTTTAATCTAGTTCGGTCCTAGATATTGATCATGTACTTGCTAAGGCCGAAGACTTGTCCCTCGGCCAGGTTTCAATGGTATCAGACAATTTGCAACGGATGGAGAAGCTGGATCAGTCATCAAAACCCATCTTCGAGACTGCCTTAAAGAAAGCAGCTGCTACTGCTATTGTAGGTTCGTCAACACTTGACAAGGGACGTTGTATTCTTTGATAGATGTCTATGCAGGTTCATATGAGACGGTCAGCAGATGTCCGAATCGTAATGTCTGCTGCTCAACCCCTCCACAGACCACGTCGACCTTGATGACGTTTTCTCTCGCCATGGTATTGTATCCAGATATCCAGAAACGCGCACAAGCGGAGATCGACTCGGTGGTCGGAGCAGATCGCTTGCCTACATTTGAAGACAGAGCCTCGCTACCCTACGTTGAATCAGTCCTGCGCGAAACTTGGAGATGGCACCCCGTCGGAGTCCTTGGTAATCTTCCTCGCTGTGTCATTGCGCCTTTGCTGAAGGAAATTATGTAGGCGTTCCACATGCCACCTCGAATGATGATACATACGATGGTTATTTCATTCCGAAAGGTCTGCTGTTTTCGTCCAGTGAACAAATATTTTGTGATATTGTACATCAGGAGCGACCGTCATATCTAACATATGGTCAGATAGACCCTCTCTGGCTTTCAAAATACTGATGTTATGTTGCAGGGGCATTTCACGGGATGAAAAGCGGTACCCCCGATGCATCTAGCTTTATACCAGAGAGGTTCCTGGACGTCAATAATGCGTTGACGGATGATGACCCTGCTGAATACGTTTTCGGCTTTGGCCGGCGTGCATGTCCAGGTGGGTTGAGTTATTTCATTACCGTATAGAGCTAATACATCCTTTGATCAGGCCGACATGCTGCTGATGCCTCTGTATGGTCCGCTATTGTTACTATGCTGGCCACGGTGGAGTTTTCTTCTGCCAAAGATGACCAGGGCAAAGTGATTGAATTCACCCCCCAATTCACCACGGGACTCACTCAGTACTTGGTTTTTCTCGTATCATTCCATTTCCTCGGCACTAACAGTTCCATCGTTTTAGCTGCCCTGTGGTCTTCCCTTGCAATATCTCAGCACGCTCTCGTGCCCATTCAGAACTTGTGGATGTTTTCCGAACGGGAGTATGACATGTGTTCAGGTGAATGAATCGTATACATATGTTCCTTCTTTCTTCACTACTTGACTAATGTGTCAAACACTCGACAACCCTTTTTTGACCCCTTCTACTTATCTGTTTCGTGTACATGCCATGTGAAATATGTAACATTACTGACATTCAACTACCTGCTTGCGCGTGCGCGAGACGCAACTTTCATTTCCTGTACAGTCGACTCCTGAGTACTAAGTACCTCGAGACAACGAAACTCACACACCCTATAAAGGAAGCTATTCAAATCTGGCACCCTCATTTGCTCGTCTGCTTGTGATAACACCATTTACTCATACCTCCTCATGATCTCCTGCCCCCGCCATCTTGGATGACCCAATTTCGTGTTGAGGATGGAGGACTTGTCGCCCAGAGGAAGCACTCAAGCTTGCAGTTGAAGCATCTTCTACCTGACTGTATACCCCGCTCACGGCCCCAACCCAGTGAGTGCTACGCATTCTCAATTCACTATAAATGTGTTGTGAATGATCTGCATTCCAAGGGTCAAGACCATTACACTCGCTCTCGGACCGTTCAATAGCATGGCATACACTCTGGGCCCGCATGAGACGAAAGAGACCAATTTCTCCCTTGATTGGGTCAAATTATCCCAGGCTCGCGCAGTGCGCACGTCATGAAATACTAGGCGTGCTGGTTCACGAGGTCGTGGATCACTATCGGTCCAGTGCAAAAGAGACATGTCCAGGGTGTCTTATCGAGGTGTGCACGTTCTGATATCCTCCTTTGAGTTCAAATGTTGTCTTCCCTTCCGAACTACTGGTAGATTTCGTAAGGCTCACCGCTTCACGCTGGTTTTGCACTACCACACTGGAGACCTAGAGCTGAGGAGAAGTAGGACGCAGGGTACGATGCTGCGGCGTACTTCCTCGACTAGATCGAGAAGCGCTGTAGCGAGGAGGGACTATCTGAAAACTTAAGGAGAGAGCATGTGAGATATACATAGGTATGTGATAGTACATATAGCTTCATCGTGATACTATAACAGAGAGTAATCAACATGTACAGGTCCGATCTCTTCAGAATCTTTCAGGCAGTCCTTCGGCATCAGCGTCATCCATTTCTTACTTTGAATTTCTGGACCCTTTGTCCCAAAGTACCTCTCGTTCTCGAAATTCCACTCATAGTTCGAGCGCACCCAGTTTCCCAAGCCATCGCAGTACTCTCTCATCTGCGAGTCAATGGGCTCTCCCCATTTTGGAACGGCTGCCATCGCCTCCAAGAACTTTTTCTGGTTTTCCTTATGGAGATCCGCCACCCATAACATGGCACCGTTGACGTCCATATCAAGTTCGCGCATGATAATCGTTATGAAGTTGTGAGTAGCATCTCCTCGTGCTTGCTCCAAATTGTAGGATGCAATGTCCTGTCATACATTTTATGAGTGTCTTTAGCGTGGTCACCAGAAAAATCACCGACATTATCAATAATGATCATGTCCATGGATGCGATAACCATGGTCTCAATTGTCGGGTGGGACATGACTTCGTCTGGGATATCCAGGCCCAACTCCAAAAGAGCGAACAAAACCTTCATTGCGATTGTCTCGCGGCGCACATCGATGTAGCTTTGAATGTCACGGATACGATGTTCGTTTCGGTCAATTGCCTGTTGTATCATGCCCTCTAGAAATGAGTCGAGTACTGTGATGAACCGCTTCTGTGACTGCGCACTAGCATCGCGTATGGTGCGCTCCCAGGTTCTGTCACTGAGATAAATCTCTGACTGAATATCAAACAGCAAAGCACTCACTGGCGCATCATTTCTCCACCGACCCATTCTCCTTTGGGACGTGGTTTATGGGGGTTATGCAAAGCATCCATGATAGCGTTCTTCTGTTCGCGGACACCACTTGGCTTTGACACATCTGAGTATTCATCTATGACGTATAAAATCCTTATTATGTTGCAGATGTTACGAAGATGCACTACCAGTGGATGGGTTTCTCAGTAAGTTATCGGTTGGAATCATGGCTCACCTTTGCTCGCGATTGGGTAGCCCAAACAACTCATGAGATCTAATAAATGACTTGTGAAAAACATGCATGTTGACAGGACTATCATGCAACCATGTCTTACCGCAATGGATGCGTTCAAAGGCATCTAGTACTGTAGCACTGTTAAAGGCTTTACAGCTCGCAAACCAAGCTGCAGATTCGACCTTGACTTCGAGATAGTGCTGATTGAGACGACGGGGCCATGGCCACGTTTCGGAGACCGTGTCAGGTATGAAGATCTTGGTACTAGCTAATTCCCCAGCAGTGGGGCCATCATAGGGGACAAACATGCTGATCAGAAGGCTCTCTGGCTGGCGTTTATACGTTCCCTGGCGGCTGTATTTATACGGTGGCTGGTACCCTGTTTTTTTTAATTAAAAAAACCATCATATTTATTGTCCTTTGGGGTCGTAGACCCTATGTTGGACATGGCCCTATTGGAGTGCGGGGGGCTTACTCCCGGATTTCTATCGTAATGGTACCCTGTTTTTTTTTAAAAAAAAACCAATTCATGTCCATGTGGGGTACAGTACCCTATGTAGGACATTACTAACTAGAAACGGGGGACACCTGTGTCCCCCACCGCATCTCCGACTTCGCAAATTGCCCTGATGGAGGGGTGACCTCCATCAGTCCGCCGTTCCCGCCGGCCGTTTTAGATGCGCAAGTCTTCCAATCCGCGGGGCCGTTAATGTGCGTTTCGTGGTATGGTGGTCCCTGGCGATTTCTGTGGATGATACAAGTACTCGGGTGTGACACCGGGTGGTACCCTGTTATCATTCAGACCTCTCTTGGTTCCTTCGAACTCAAACCCCGAGCAAACAAAGTCTGGACGCCCTCACGTCATTCACAACGAAAAAAAAAACCCTAAAATCTGCTTGTCGAATCGGATCGTAGCGCCGCTGACGCGCCAGTTCCCGACTCCACCGGCCCTTGCCATCTTCTCATATGTGAAATTCTTCTCCGTTCTGTCGTCCTCACCCAATCTCTTCGATTTTTTTCACATGAATTTCCTATGTGTCTCCATTGCTCTTAGACTATTCTCAACGTGAAAGATCCGAATGATAACAGGTTACCAGAAACCGTCCGAATCGGAGTGAGTTACTTATAGTTACCGTGCGGAGCAAGGTCACTTAGAATGTTGCGTGATTTGAACAAACAAAGACTTGTTATGGAAAACAAAGGAACCTCACACAGCGAAGAAAAAACGACATCATGAAATCTGGGATGTATAGCTCCTGTGCAGTTAATCATAATAGTTTTCTCTTACTACAATCACCACTCATACATAATGTATCCCTCCACATATCTAGCGTGTATCCAACAACAACGCTGTTGGACGATACGATACGTACGCATGGTCTTGTCCCGGAGGATTAGCCTCCGGGACTTCTCTTTCTTTTTTGATCTTCATCACCTTCGACCACCATCCACCGGGGTAACCACCACCGGTGGCTTCTTCTCTTCTCGTACCTCTCCATATCCGATTCTACCTCAGCGTTGTTTACATAACACTTCCGCTGAGGTACGTATATCACTAATACTCGTACTCATTCTTGCTAAAATGTAATCTAGACTTCGTCTAGGTAAATGCAAATATCAGCGTTGTTTAACACTTCCGCTGAGACTTCGTCTAGCTTACAACAAACGCCTTCATCGATATCGAGAAACAAAACGCAAGAACACAGGACAACATGCCGGCGGCTATTCGTGCTTACATGTAAGGGGTTCTGAATTATCCAATGTCCTGTAATGTGTCTCGTCCATGAAGAATTTTATCCGGCTACTCTAATGTGGAGACGCAGACGTCCCGGGTCAGCGAAAATCAAAGTCATCTGAAAGGTCACCGTGTCGCATTCGAATCAAAATGTATTTCAAGTTATATCTTGTTGGCCCAAATAAACTAAATCCACTCGCTCCGCACGGTCACAAGTCGGCAACGCCGACAGTTGTTCAAATGTACGAATCTCCACCGGTTAACTTAAGTGGAGAATGGTGAGATCAAATCTCGAGGTGGGTTAGGCGATAGCCTCCCTCGCACCTATGCAACCCCTAATCACATCTGAATATAGGGAGAGCTGGAACCTAGTAGATGGCTAACGGAGACAATAAATATCAAATGATCTGAATCAGACTTACAGGAGCGCTGCTTTGCTCCCAAAAAGAAGTCTGATTACCCGTAGCTAGGGCATCAATGTCTTCTAGATCCATAGGTACTGACTCAGTCACTGTGATCGCCGTCGTTTTTCGAGGTTTGAAACTATGCTTGACGTATCCTCTCCACTCTATTGTCGAGCTACAATCTGATATTGTAACTTTTTTTCTTCTGACGCGCTAGGTACAGGATGTGTAGTAAGCGACTCTCAGTGCAGTTATAACGCGCACCGAATATCTACACATGCATCTGTCCAACCATGTTTCCATCAGTTGATGGTCGCCTTGCTATCCTCGCCGTCTTACTAGTACCCGCATCCCTCGTTGTCATCAAAGCCTTCAAGTGGTTAGTTCGGAACAGACAGAACAGACCTTGCCTTCCTCCTGGCCCAATGCCGCTCCCACTGTTAGGGAACGTCTTATCTATCGACACCAAGGAGCCTTGGTTGACTTATACCGAATGGGGTGCTACTTATGGTACGTGGGGAGATAGTATAGTGCATATGTGATTCAAATAATTATATCAGGAGACTTGGTTTTCGCGCGACTTCTAGGCCAGGAAGTCGTGGTGACCAATTCTCAGCACGTTGCAGAAGCCTTAATGGACAAGCGTTCTCGCATATACTCCGATCGACCATACATAGCCACAGTCGAGCCGTACGTTCTTTTAACATTCTTCTACTTCATCCTTATGAAATACAGGCCCTGGCAGATTCGGTTGGTCAGTCAACTTTGCAGCAGCAGTTTATGGCAACGAATGGCGTCTTTGCAGGCGGACTCTTCCACCAAACGTTTCGTCCCGACTCTGCACTCAAGTTCCGTTTAATGCAGATCAAGCGGGCTCGTGAGATGTCCGTCAACCTAATTGATGACCCTCAACACTATCATTCTCACTTTGCAACGTCAGTCGATGTGTTTGTAAACTTTGAACGATTATCAACCTGTTCATAGATTTTCGTCATCAGTTGCGATGTCAGTGGCATACGGCTACCAAACTAGTCCTCGTGATGATCCTCTGGTTCGAATCGTAGAAGATGCAATGGCTATTGGCGTTAAGGTCATGACCCAAGAGAGAGCAACCTTGCTAAAACTCTTCCCATTCTGTGAGCTCATTTTCGTTGATGAGAAATACTTGACATTTCGCGCTCTGATACAGTGCTGAGTTTACCTGACCGGTGCTGGGGATCCGCGATCAAACGCGATGCTCAAGTTTCGACCCATCGCATGACTGAAATGACGGACCTGCCGTTCCAATATGCGCAGGAGCATATGGTGGGCATTTTTTAAAATCTAGTTCGGTCCTAGATATTGATCATGTACTTGCTAAGGCCGAAAACTTGTCCCTCGGCCATGTTTCTATGGTATCAGACAATTTGCAACGGATGGAGAAGCTGGATCAGGCGTCAAAACCCATCTTCGAGACTGCCTTAAAGAAAGCAACTGTTAGTACTATCATGGGTTTGTCAACTCTTCATAAGGAACGTTGTGTTCTTTGATAGATATCTGTGCAGGTTCATATGAGACGGTCAGCAGATGTCCGAATCATATTGTCCGCTGCTTAACCTCTTCAGACCACGGCGACCTTGATGACTTTTGCTCTCGCCATGGTATTGTATCCAGATGTTCAAAGACGTGCACAAGCGGAGATCGACTCAGTGGTTGGAGGAGATCGCTTGCCTACATTTGAAGACAGAGCCTCGCTACCCTACGTTGAATCAGTCCTGCGCGAAACTTTGCGATGGCACCCCATTTTACCCATTGGTACTCTTCCTTGCCGAGTGGTCTCGCCTTCACTAAACACAATCTTATAGGCGGACCACATGCTACTTCAAGCGACGATATATTCGATGGCTACTTCATTCCCAAAGGTCTGCCGTTTTCGTCTAGTGAACAAATATTTAGTCATATCGTACATCAGGAGCAGCTGTGATATGCAACATATGGTCAGATAGATCCTCTCCGGATTTCAGATTTTTGATGTTATATTGCAGGGCCATTTCACGGGATGAAACGCGGTACCCCGATGCATCTAGCTTTATACCAGAGAGGTTCCTGGACGTCGATAATGCACTGACGGACGATGACCCTGCTAGATATGTTTTCGGCTTTGGCCGGCGTGCATGTCCAGGTGGGTTGAGTTATTTCATTACCGTATAGAGCTAATACTTTCTTTGATCAGGCCGATATGCTGCTGACGCCTCTGTGTGGTCCGCTATTGTTACTATGTTGTTCACGATGGAGTTCTCTTCTCCCAAAGATGACCAGGGGAAAGTAATCGAAGTCACCCCCGGATTCACCACGGGACTCATTCAGTACTTGGTTTTTCTCGTATCATTCCATCTTCTTGTCACTAACAGTTCTATTGCTATAGCTCCCCTATGGTCTTCCCTTGCAATATCTCAGCACGCTCTCGCGCCCATTCAGAACTTGTAGATGTTTTCCGAACGGGAGCATGACACTCGACAACTTTTTTGACCCTTCTCCGCAAATTTTTACTTAGCTCTGTTTTGTGAAATATGTATCATCTACTAGCATTCGACTACCTGCTTGCGTGCACGAGACGTAATTGAGTATCAAGTATAGTCTCGTAGGCAAACACGATAGAAGACAGTTCACTGAGTAGACGTCACGGACTCACGGTACGGTGCAACTGGCGCTTGATCAGACTTACTCCAGTCCGACTACGTCGCCTGCAAGGAAACCGCGTCGTCATTACTATCAATATCAACACGATAACGACATAGTAAGTAACAAGTAAGTAACACATAAAACAGAAAAAAAAATAACAAACAAAGATGAATAACAGTATGCAGATAAAAAGTATATCCACACCAGCCAAAGCAACGCGAGAAGTGCAGTGCAACAACAAAGTGGATACAACGCACAACAGCCTCGGGGGAAATAACAGGAAAAATAATGAAAAACAACAAGACGAACAAATGAAACGAAGGTGATACGAACACCTCTTGCAAGTATCTAAAATCCAGTAAACGAACGCAACGCGCCAAACACCCTCCCCGCTAACCCCACCCCCTGAGGTCCAGCACTAGGACCAGCAGACGGAGGATCAATCTCGTACCCACCTTCCAGCACCTCCATCATCCTATTCACATCCATCTCGCTGGCCTTCTTATCCCCCCAGAACTGCACAAGAAACCGATGTCCAGTAGAAGACACCCGGTACTCGAGGACTTTACACAACACCAGTTTTCCGAGGGTGCTGCTTGGATCAGGGACGATGAGGAGGAAGGCTTTGTTGACGAGCTGTAGTGGATTTGTGGCGAAATCGTGGAGACGTTCGGGGGTGAGTTGTCTGTGGGGACGACGGGCGAGGGCGGGGGCGATGGGTTCTAGAGATGAAGAGAGGTCGCTTTCTTTTGGGAGGTCTGGAGAGGGTTCTGTCATCGTACAGGCATCGCGGAAATCTCGGGCTTTGGTAAATGGGAAGAGAGCGGGGGGCATGGCGGCGTCGAAGTCAAAATTGGGGTGGCTATCGGGCTCGAAGTGTGGGTGGGTGATGCTCGCGCCGTCGCTGCTCGCGCTGTTGCGGTCAGCTTTGGTAAGAATTTCGTGGAATGTGGTGGAGTAGTAAGACCCCACTGGTGGATTCGTATCAGGGAGGCATAGCATGAAATCGCCAGGACCTGGGGTTGGGTCAACGGATGGAGGGAGAGATGGGTGGATGCTAGGACCGAGAAGCGGGCCTGGCTCGACACTTGACATGGAGCCATTAGCTGCTTCGTTGCGCATCGCCAGCTTCCTTCGCGCACTACCAACATGATTGAATTGATGAAGCGACGTAGCAGTTATATGTTCGACTCACCGAGAATTACGGGCATTAACACGCTTCCTCTCTTTCATTTTCTGAGCTTCTAATTCATCACTAATGGGAATCAATACGTCAGCTAGTTGGATTGAGGCGGGGAACACATACATCTCGCCATTTTTTATTCTTTCCTTCAGCCGCTGCCTGTATTTTTTATTTGCCTCACGATGTTTGTCTGATGTTTTGTGACCTGTCTGGAAACAAGTTGAACGAATAAACAGGCCAGAATGGCTGAGAACAACATACCGAGTTATTGTGACTATTCATCATCGCTGAAATGCCTTCTGTATCCACTTCCATTGCATCCCTTGCATAATCAGACCCAGGGTCTACGCCAGAAGCTGGGGAAGGTAAGGCTCCTGCTGAGGATGGAGTGGGATATTGAACCTGAGGTCGGCGAGCAAGCTGCGACTCAGAAGCCATTGCTAGCGAGCGCTGAACAGGACGTAGAGTAGTTGAGGTGGACAGTGAAGCGTGTGATGACGCGGGAGGAGGAGTAGGATAACGCGGAGAAGCGGAAACTGAGGTATTTGCTAATGCTGCGGATTGCGCGGATAGGGCTGATAAGGCTGCTGCATTAGCAGTTGGGTGTCACAGATGCGGGGAGTTGTGTGGTCGATGAGGTACGCGCTGCAGCTGCAGGGTCGGCGACATGATTTGGAGGTGGTGGGGGTGGTGGGAAAGTGTAAATAGGTGGAGCAGGTAAGTGCGCAGATGATACAGGTGCAGATTTTGGTGCAGAGGTAGCTGGCGTAGGCGCGGACGGAGGAGGCCGTAGAGGAGCAGTGGATGTAGATTGTGATACATTGGATGTCGTTGGCGGTGGTGTACGTATCAGTGGGGTAGGTGCGGGTATGGGGGTGCGTATGGATGAGGTGGGAATAGGAGCACCAGCACCAATATTGATACCAATAGCGGGTGCAGAGGCGGTAAGAGACGATTTAGAAGCGTTATTTGTGATAGATAATGTCGTTGAATGTCCTGCAACTGATGCTCTTGGCAAGCGGATTGTCAGTGGTGTACGAACGCGAGGCTGAGCAGTACTAGTACTGTTAATCGGTTCTGCTGATGCTGCCGCAGGTCCCTTGGAACGCGTATACGGTGTAGCACGAGTTGGCGAAGAATTGGTTGCTGGTGCAGGAGATGACGATGAAATATCATGGGTATGAGTGGACGCTGTAGTTTTTGCGCGTGTCTGCGGCATGCCTGGAACAAGAGCTATAAAATTTGAGCCTGGTGAAGCCTGGGAAGCCCGATTTTCGAGCAATGATAAAAGAGGAGGCAACAATATTGCGGTCGTAACAATCCCTGCAGCTCAGAGTCAGACTGATTCAAGGATTTTGGGAGTAACCACTGCGTCTCGTACCACCTTGGGCCCAGCTAGATATCAAAGTTAAAAAAGAAAAAGAGCGTGAACACTTCCGTTCAGCTCTTTCCATCTTTGGTGCGAACTTTGTTCAACTGGCTTTTTTCCGACAAACGTCGTCAGCTCATCGTGAGACTCGGGCAGTGCGTCGAACCTAACCGTTGCCAGAGGGTTCCTAATACCTGAGCAAATGCCCAGGACCATTTTCTGCTCATGTGCATTGACATTGACTATCCAAGCCAAGAAGGAACGACTGTCTTCTCTGGTAGACACCCACACTTGCAAAACACATCAATTGCAGGTATGAGTTGCAGAAAAAACCTAGCATGAATAGGATGACTGCTCTCCCATCTAGTCAGACGTTGATAGAAGGAAGAGTCATTCACATCCGCCAACACAAGTTTACCTTGAGTTGATTTATCGGGCGTTCGGGAGTCTGGCAGATTAGGGCTTGCGCGAGGGCACAAGAAACTTGATCTGCATTCAATTGTCTTTGATACGATAGGTTCGTAGTACACACTTAACAAAGCGCCATAGTATTCTGACAGTCCCTCCTAAATTGGCTGTATGGCTGCAAGGTACGAAGTTTTCATATGCTGTGTGCCGTATCTTCCGACAAACATAAAATCGTCGTACTACGAGGGGAGGCAAGAGTTCACATTCAACCCCGTCGTGATGGCGAGAGGTGGTACACATATCTCCTGGCATTCCGAGTCAACGCTGCATGCTGCACTGGAAAGAGTACACCAACAATTTGAGCGACGAGTCTTATGATGATGTCTTCAATACTCTTGGACTCGAGGAACCCAAGGCGAGAACCAAAGGGCTCGTTGAGTCTGTCGAGAGCACCTATCGGGTCACTAACGAATTGGATAGACAAGGTGGCATTGATCTGCTTCTATTCTACGCTGGAGCCGGCACAGCCCCTGCTACGCTTCACTGGCTTGAAGTTCCACGAATTCTTCTGTGAGAAGAAAGTTCACATTGTTCTTGCAATCACAATCTTCGAAGGAGAGCAGAGGATAGAGGACGGGCGCCTTCGAGCGATATCATATCCAAGTCGCTAGCCATGTGTGCATCACTGCTGCTAATAGATTAAACGGCAGACACAGAGATCTCTGAAGAACCGAACGTCCCGCGGCCCTCTGGAAAGATTATTTACTGCCGACAGGCGGAAGCAAGCATGGATAAGAGGGGCATATGAGAAGCTCTCATCTGATGGAGCGTTGCAGTATGTCTCCAAAAGTTGCAAAGAGTGGGCTAATGTAATCAAGCAAGACGTTTATGGATGTTTTTGCCGATACGTCGAACGTAGTACTGTAGGACTGCCTCACAAGCAGTACCTGCCCAGGCTGACACCTTTTCAATGAAGGGGTCGATCCCTTTAAAGGAGACCTGTCGTTTTCCGCATCATAATCAACTTCGCAAGTCCCTGCACCGTGAGGATACGATGTATCAAAGCACTCGGGACACCGACTGAGAGGGTCGGGCTATAGGCAACTCGGTCAGTGGTACCATGGTCCTTACCAGGCGTCAGTTTGTGATCACTCGTTAGATGGGGTTAGACCCTTCCTTCCAATGTCGATTGTATGGGTCGCATTTGACTCCGGATCAGAGATGAGGTGACCTACTCTTGGTGCGACCTGCTTTTTTCGTCTTTCGTCTATCGCGCAGCATTACCCTTGTAGTTGTGGCGCCCCGGATTCTGTATTTGCATGTACTGTGGTAGCATGATGTTTGCGCTCTTCTTTCTGTAATCACGGGGTTGCACATACCGCACACAAAATACAAGGCATCTTATAAACCTAATTAAATCATTCCAGGTGACAATGTTAATTTCTTTCGTACGGTGCGAAGTTAGATCGTCCTGAGTTGGTCAACGACTGATTCGCAGGGTATTGAAATTCAGTGAGGCCACGAATCTCGTATAGAGTGTGACGAGGGAGGGGTCTACATCAGAAAAACGAATATAATTTGACATCATCGAGTTCGAAATTGGCTGAAAGAAAAGTTGAAGTGGACGGGTTCATCGTCAACACTGATCAATATGATCCATTACATACATAGGAAGATGGACACAGCCCCGGTCGAAGACCTGAGTGATTCGTTAACACAGCACTTGAGCTGTGATGCAAACACGTGGATAACACATGGGATACACACCATAGTACATGACTTAAAACAACAGATACCCAACTTCTTCGGCTCCAAACCAAACGTCCACCGTTTCAGTGTACAGTCCGTCCTTCGCATTGGTGATCGGAGTGTCTAAATTGGTTTGAACAATTTGTGGTGAGTGATACTCTAGGCTGTAAAGCGACTACTCGCTTACCGGCAACTTGGATAGCGCAAATATTTTCGCACTACACCACAGCAAGACCTACATACGTAGTCCCTAGGCCATCCTGTGGGTCAAGGCTGAATTACTGTAAGCATGCGTTCTCGTCAGCTATACCTCGTGCTTTTATTGACAGAAATGGGCCAGTCGACTGTCTTTGTCATTGTCGGATAACCCATTCTCATTCAAATATCTAGGCGGGCTTCTTGCATAATCCACTTGAGAGCGCCATCATGGATTCTCTGACTGATAATACACAAGCGGTCACGCCCAGGAAGACGATGCGGGGCCATACCGACCAGGTACGAGGTGTTCTGCACCTACCTGGCGGACGGCGCATCATCACATGTTCGGAAGACGGCTCACTGCGACTATGGGACTTGGAGAGCGGCGCACAGATCAGCGACGACTGGCGAGACAAGGGCGACAAGGCAGCGGTGTTCACCATAGCATTGTCTCCAAACGGGGATACCGTTGCGAGCGGAAGCGATGATGGAAAAGTGAGGTTGTGGGATGTCGAGACGGGGGAGGTAATTGCCAAATGGACAGGGCACACTGATTGGGTGCGGTCAGTAGGCTGGAGTACAGATGGTCAACGAGTGGTTAGTGGATCCGACGACGGGACGGTAAGGGTGCGGGACGTCAAAAGCGGGAAAACAGTCCTGGAAATCAAGACCGGGAGCCAGTGGGTGTTGACAGTCATCTACTCACCCAATTCAACAAAAATCGCGACTGGCGTACACAACGAGAGCGGTGTAAAAATCTGGGATAGCGAGACAGGCGAGCTGCTCGCTACACTCAAACACGATTATCAAGTTTGGAGCGTGGTCTCGTGGACATCAGATGGAAAGAGGCTTGTCTCCGCGTCTTATGGCTCGATTAGGATATTCGACACTGCCACTTGGCGGCGGGTCGCCATCTTGGAGGGCGGCACATTTGATGTCCACACCTTATGCTTGTCTCAGAACGGCCGCCTCCTTGCGAGTGCATCTGATGATCAGACAGTGCGTCTGTGGAATCTTACCAAGAGTATCCCAGTCGGTGCACCTCTCCGGCATGAAGGCAATGTGAGATGTGCAGCCTTTTCCGTTGATGGAAAGCTACTAGTCACCGGTTGCGACAACAATATGTACGTGTGGGACATCTGTGGCATCCTTAAACAAGCAGGTTTTGAAAACCTACTGTCCCTTCCTAATGTGAGTGTAAATGCCATGACTTTTCACCAAAGACCACGATAATATCCTATTCGTAATAGATCGTAGCTGGAAGCCCGTTAAGGAATGTGCGTGATGTGTTTTTAACCTTTCCAACCATCTAAGATCGATGTTCTAGAGTAATGCAGCACGGCGCCCAGCCCAGCTCAAGAATGCCCATCGAGGACTGCCAGGCTTTTTCGATGACGCACCCCATGTGTGTTTTCAACGGTTTTGTTAATCACTTCTCGTTCTGACATGTGTGCTCTCAGTCGTCCGCGACCCGCGACATCCATCATCGTTCCTCTGCGCGCCGCCGCCGCTCTCTCTCAACCTCTTCTGGGAGTCGAACTACGCTCTTCAGCCGCATTCCAGCGCTCTTTCGACATTCTCGCCCCAAAACTGGCGAAGCAATCGAATTCCAACAACACCCAAGGCAAAGCATCTTCTCTCGTCGCAGTCATCTTACTGTTGAAGTTCCTGCAGTACAGGACAGAAAGGTACGACTTCCTCCACATACGTCTGAAACCACCATGGTTCAATATATTCTCTACAGCCGTTGGCTGTCGCTCTGCGGCCAGGAAAACGAACACAGCAGCAGCATAGGCAATCGCGAGCCCAGGCGTTGTCATCGTTAACTCAGCCTGCCGCTCCCTTGACGTCCACAACACCCGCTCCAGGTACTAACATCACCACACCAGATGCAGCAACTGCACAGTGCCGACCTATCCCATTGTGGGCTCGTCTTGTGCTGTTCCTCTGTTGCGCATCTCCTGCACACGCCAATGGCCATTGATACTGCACTTGTGGACAACTAAGTCATATTTGATTCGAGTTTTTTTGCGCTCTTATTTATTATCTCTTATCTCTTTCTCTACACCTTCAAGCTTCGCTACTCTATGAATCGTGTGTTCTCGTCGTGAGGCTCGTGGGGTGCGTTCGCACCTTTTTATGTTTTTTTTGTTTTGTTTTGGATCCTTGTTTATTGTCCTGTGGGGCGGGGCCCTATGGTGGACACTACCTACAATATCGTACTTTGCTAAATATGTGTCGTGGCTCTGGTGTGTTGATACTAATCAATGGTCCGTGCGAGAGCAGGGACGGTGACGCCGTCTTAAGGCGTTGGAATATTGTGTTACATCTTGGGTGCGCTTCTCCTCCCCTCTGGCTGCTTCCTCTTTCTTTCTACCTCATTCCTTCTCCTTTGGGGGGGGGGGGGGGGGGGTGACGTCTCCGAAGACCTGTTCCATCCTTCTTGTGCGCGCAATGTATTTGAGTGTGGCTCTAATTCCTTTGCTCTCGTTCAGAAGATACTTGATGTGGAACTGGCGTGGTCCTACTTCCATACGGAGTGCATTGCGTTGTCTGATGAAATTGGGGCATACTAATAAGAAGTGGTGGACGGTTTCTTCATGGGCGTGGCATTCCTGGCATGTTGCCGACGGCGCTCGGGCTATGCGGTGAAGGTGTTTATTGAGTGCTATGTGGCCGGTGCGTAGTTGGAAGAGCAGCGTTCCGTGTTTTCTTGGTAAGTCTGCGATTTTGCTGGCGAATTTCTTGGACGGGGCCGTGTGATCTATGGATTGAAGTCGGGTGTAGCGGGGTGATTCTTTCATGATGCTAGCGGCTTCGTCTTTGATCCTGCCATAGAACTGCTGTTTGAGTGCGGATTTGCTTTGCGGGAGGATTCTGATCGCGCCGTTTCTGGTCAGGAGTGACTTAGGGAGTTCGTGCGCATCTGAAGAGTCTCCTGACGCGGCTTTCTTCGCTTCCTCGTCCGCTGCCTCGTTGCCTGGTATGCCTTTGTGACCCGGTGACTGCCGGATGACTAGTTTTCTCCCGTCCTTGTGGGGTATCAGGTTGCGCAGGTCGTCATGGAACGTGTCTGCTAGGTGGTGGTCTGGTCTTGATTGGAATGCTGTCATGGCGAGTATCGCTGCTTGGTTGTCTACTCCTAGCGCCATTGTCCCCCCCCCGTTGCCTCCTTCCTCTTTCAACAGCTGGATTGCCAGGATCATCCCTACCAGCTCGGCCTCATATACGGTGTGTTCTTCATCGCTTCCCAAATGCAATCGCTTCCTTCTCATCACCTCCTCTCCCCTCATTAGTATTGCTGCGCCTCCTACTCCCCCGTCTACTGAAGATCCGTCCGAATATACCCGTAGGTCCTCCATGGCGAGTATGTCGTCTTCTACGGCTTGCTGCGTTGATTCTGCGATCTGCGTGTTGACGTCCGGTTCCCACTTGGGGTAGTGTCTGACCGGTTCGATCTTCTCGATTTTGGATGGATCAATCTGAAATTCGTTCATCAGTCTATGTAAGGGTGAAGGATGCCGCTTTCTCCCCTGGAACTCTCGCTTTTCACTGTATTCATATGCTTTCTTGCTTTCTTTGGCTAGCACCCCCCTTTTTATGTAAGGACCGTCATCCTTGTCCCATTACATCGTGGGTTGTTCGTAGCGCTCCACCAATATTTCCATTTACTAACATTCATCGTCACTCGGAATATCGATATCGAACTAGATGCCAGCTCATTTCAACACATTTTTCTACAGAGTTTGAGACTGGGTACAGTATTTAGTCTTTCTATACATATATTGCAATCCAATTCAGAGAAGATCTCCTGGATGGATATGAGGACGTGGCGAAATATTGCAAGGGAATACCATCAAGGAGCTAAAGCGATGCAACTGTTAGTGACTGGATGATGGGATGACGAAACAAAACTACCAAACAAGTCCGGGGTGGAATTGAGGGGTGAAGTCGATCACTTTGCCCTGGTCATCCTTGGCGAAAGAAAAGTCCACCGTGGCTAACATGGTCACGATAGCAGTCCACACAGAAGCATCACCGGCATACCGCCCTGATTAAAAAAAGGGATTAGCTTATCACATGCCATATAGCATTGAAGTGGATCAACCCACCCGGACATCCACGCCGGCCTAAGCCGAAAACGTATCCCGCGGGGTCATCATCCGTCAACGCGCCGTTGACGTCTAGGAACCTCTCCGGCATAAAACGAGATGCGTCAGGGTACCGCTTTTCATCTCGTGAAATGGCCCTGCAATGTGACATCAGCATCTCGAACCCCGTGGAGAGTCTAATAGTATCTAACCAGGTGTTACACATGACGGTCGTTCCTGATATACGATATTACAAATGATTCGTTCAACGGATAAGAATAGCAGACCTTTCGGAATGAAAAAACCATTGTATGTATCGTCACTCGAAGTGGCATGTGGAACGCCTACATAATTATCTTTAGCAAAGGCAGAATCATACAGCGAGGAAGATTACCGAGAGGTAGAATGGGGTGCCATCGGAAAGTCTCCCGCAGAATTGATTCAACATAAGGTAGTGATGCTCTGTCCTCAAACGTAGGTAAGCGATCTCTTCCGATCACCGAGTCGATTTCCGCTTGTGCGCGTCTCTGGACATCTGGATACAATACCATGGCAAGAACAAAAACCATCAAAGTCGAAGAGGTCTGTGAAGAGGTTAAGCAACACACGATATGATTGGAACACCACTGACCGTCTCATATGAACCTGCATAGTATATTTGTCATGGGTACAACAACCTTCACAAAAAGGTAACGTACCCATAACACCAGCTACAACTGCTCTCTTTAAGGCAACTTCGAACATCGGTTTGGATGCCTCGTCTTGCTTCTCCATTCGTTGCAAATTTTCTGCCACCATCGAGGACTGGCCGATGAACGAGTTTCCAGCCTTTGCAGGAATATAATCAACGTTTAGCTCCGAACAAGATTAAAAAACGATTCTTACCATATGCTGTTGTGCAGATTGAAACGGCAAGTCCCTGATTTTATTCATATGATCGGTCGAAAATTGAGCATCGCGTTTGATCGAAGATCCCCAGCACCAGTCAGGTAACTTCAGTACTGCATGAGGGTGTGGGATATCAGGTCTTTCTCATCAGCGGGAGTGAGCTCACGGAAGGGGAAGAGTTGAAGCAAGATTGCTTTCCCTGGGGTCGTCATCTCAAGGCCAACAGCCACTGTATTTTCCATCATTTGAACCAGAGGATCCTCACGAGCGCTGGGCTCGTAGTCATATATAGTAGACATCCCAACTGATGACGAGAACCTGTGGATAAGTTGACAATCGCTTGATATTTGCAAACACATTGGCTAACGTTGCGAAGTGGTTATGATAATGTTGAGGGTCATCGATCAGGTTGACGATCATCTCGCGAACCCGTCTCATCTGCACCGGGCGAAGCTTGAGTACAGAATTAGGACGAAAAGCTTGGTGGAAGAGTCGTCGAGAAAGACGCCATTCGTCACCATAGCCTGTGAATGCAAAGGTGATCGCCGACCAGCCAAATCTGGCTGCATCTCAGACTGATTGAATGAAAAATATTAAAACAACGCACTGTTCGGCTGTAGCGAAGTATGGTCGATCGGAGTAAATCTCAGAACGCTTGTCCAACAAGGCTTCTGCAACATTCTGGGAATTGATCGATATGACTCCCTGGCCTAGAAGTCGCACGAAAACCAAGTCTCCTGATATAATGGTTTGCACCACATATGGGCCATACTATTCGTCCACGTACCATAAGCAGCATGCCATTTCGTATAAGTCAACCAAGGCTCCATGCCGTCAATAGACAAGGTGTTCCCTATCAGTGGGAGCGGCACTGGGCCAGGAGGAAGGCGAGGCTTGCTCTGACTGTTCTCAATGAACCGCCTGAGGGCTATGATGACAGCAAAGGAAAGTGGTAAGACGGCGAGGATATCAAGGCGACCATCAACTGAAGGATACATGTCTAGAGCAGTGAGCAGATCATCCGAAGCACGAAACAGGTCTTATAAAGGACCCATGAGAAATCCCGTGGAACCCAGATCAATGAAGGCCCCAATTTCAATCCCGACAGATTTTTTGTCAGAATGTTTCACTTGAGAGTAAATTTTTGCTGAGAAAACGAGGTCAGCATATTATGCTGTTACCGATCGATTATATTCCCTGTCATATTATTTCGTGAGTAATAGTCGAGTAATATACAGTCTTGATCGCATGTGAAATTCTTCAGCACACCAGTACCCTCAATAGGCAGTCACTGTACGGTTGTTCCGCAACTTGGTAAGGAGTACCGCTCCGCGGAGGACGGAATTTCCCTTTGTAGTCCTACTCGCTTGGATAAAAGCATGTCCAGTAATGAATTAACTAAATCGCTGTATCGCAGTATGATGTGAACTCCCGCAAATACAAGCACACCTCTTCGAGGTGCCGCCATTGAAGCAGACTCACCTGTGCCATCCAAAATTGCAAAACGTGCCCGAGGGAAAACGTTGGACAACGGAGAAAGTTGGGAAAGGGAGTAAATCAGGGGAGGGCCACCTAGCTGTCGGGTCACTGATACATCAGATAACAAAGTGTCGAAGTAGCGATTAGTCCAGCACCGGCTTACTTAAGCATTGCGTTGACAAAGAAACTGAAATTAATATTGACGCGGTCTTTACGCACCTGATACGAGGCATTGACGCGGCACTATTGGAAAAAGAGATTAGCCATGACCTTGGGACATCTACTCGGACGCACCACACATGCCGTTGACCTTTAACCGATGGTTTCAAAGAGGGGAGTGCGATCGAGGGTCAGAGGAATATCGGTGAGTTTCGAGTAGATGACTTAGGAGCATTCATCGAGGGAAAACGGGCTGTAAACTGTCGGTCTTCTTGCAGTGCTGCATGGTCGAACTTCGTGTATGTAGAAACAGTGCAATCAATATCAATGTCATTCTCTTTGCTACGTTCAAGTTACTCGCTCTAGCGAGTCTTATCCCACTGTAATAAAAGCTATAAGCTATTTCAATTTTGAGTTGGAAGTTCCTAATATTTGTGAGCGTAATGCCATGGCTTTTGACCAAAGCTTGACCACGCTAAATATCTGTAATAGGTCGTATAGCTGGAAGTTCGTACAAGTTACAAGTCACTTACAGCTGTTTGAGAAAAGTGGCAAAAAATTTCACGCACGTGTGACCAAAAAAGGAAGTCTTGCGCAGTCTTCCTGCAATTCAAGTTATTCAACTCGCCCGAATCGGCGAAGCAACCGAACTCCAACAACACCCAAGGTAAAGCATCTGAGTCTCTCGTCGCAGTCCTCTCACTGTTGAAGTCCTTGCAGTGCAGGACGACTTTCGTCGCATACGTTTGATATCGCCATGGTTCAATATATTCTCTACCTAGCCTAGCTATGACATGGGTCGACGGTCGACCTAGGTCATTCTCGCACCCGACCCGCGGGTACCGAAATTTTCAAAGGCCTACTCGTACCCACTCGGGTCAGAGCGTCGCGGGTGAGCGGACATATTTCGCGAAACTGGTATGTACATGTGCTGAGCAACAAAATAAAGTATGTACCAAGCTTAGTCTGAGTCAATAACAATCTCGTTGCTCTTTCTTGTTGACAGCGCATCGCATTGCAATGAGGGCACGATGGGCCTCAGGTGTATACTTTGAAATCGAGCCGCTAATGATTTGCTGGGCACCCTTCGCATTGGGACCTTGGTTCGAGACACCACATATTCTTCGATGCCCCGATTGAGGCTTTTCGTCCCTTGTCCAGTTTGTATGCGTTTTTGGTGATGTTGACAGGGTCGGTGCAGCACGTAAATTTGAACTCGAGATAATCGCGGCTGCTGTGAGCTTTCAAGCAATGTTGTAAAGATATCGTGAAGTGATCATATGCAGCGGAATTCCACCGAGCTTTGGATACAGCTAAAAGGTCAGTGAATTTGCGAATAAAATTGAATGAAGAGGGGAACATAAATATACTAGTCTCGTCATCGGTTTTGTCCCAGACATCGAGATCCGTAACATCAGCATTTGTTCGTCACTTTTTTGCGAGAGACTAACACGGGAGTTGGCGATGCCACTGCGCTTACGGCTGCGTGTGTTCTTGGCTAGCGATGCATCAGGCAAAAGGGCCAGTGAGTCCACGAATGAATCAGTAGGTATTGATTAACACGGGAGCCGGCGAGACTGCTGTCCGCTTACGACTGCGCGTGTTATTGGCCGGCGAGGAGTCGAGCTCAAAGACATCGCCCGATGGTATGCTTGGAGGGGTGTTACTACTAACATCACACCAGATGTAGCAACCACACAGTCCTGACCTATCCCATTGTTGGCTCGTCTTGTGCTGTTCCTCTGTTGTGCATCTCCCAACGCCAATGGCCATTGATACTGCACGTGCGGACAATCATCCCATCTTTGCTTCGAGTTCTACATCTCTTTCTCTACACCTTCAAGTTTTGCTACTCCGAGAATCGTGTTTTCTCGTCGCGAGGCTTGTGGGGTGCATTCGCACCTTTTTATTTGCGTACTGGTATCTTGTCCACCTATCGTTACATTTCGCGGGTTATTCGTAGCGCTCCGCCAGTGCCCACTTGCAAGACCTACTAATATACATTGACACTCGGAATATCAATGTCGAACTTGAAGTCAACACATGTAACTACAGAGTTTGAGTGGGCACGTTCGAGGAACCGCATAGCTGGGTCGATCATGTGGATATGGCAACCCAAATCATTCATAGTGCATACATACGAGTATAACTGAATACATACATACTGTACATGTTGACTTCTTGCGTTCAAGTATGAGTTACAATTCATGGACTCAGCGTCCTGCTAAATGCACTTTGCGAGGTGTGCTTGTGTTACCTGCTTTCCGATAGATAAGTCTTTGTATACATATACATATTGCAATAAAGTTCAGAGAAGATCCACAAGTCCTGAATGGACATGAGAACGTGGCGAAATATTGCAAGGGAATATCTTGACGGAGCTAAAGCGATGCAACTGTCAGTGACTGGAGGACGGGGTAACGAAACGAAGTACCGAATGAGTCCCGTGTTGAATTGAGGGGTGAAGTCGATCACTTTGCCCTGGTCATCCTTGGCGAAAGAAAAGTTTACCGTGGCCAACATGGTCACAATAGCAGACCACACAGAGGCATCACCGGCATACCGCCCTAATTGAAGAAGGGATTGGCTCATCACATGCCATATAGCAGTGAAGTGGATCAACCCACCTGGACATGCACGCCGGCCTAAACCAAAAATGTACCCCGCAGGGTCATCATCCGTCAAGGCACCATCAACGTCTATGAACCTCTCTGGCATAAAGCGAGATGCGTCAGGGTACCGCTTTTCATCCCGTGAAATGGCCCTGCAATGTGACATCAGCATCTTGAAATCTGTAAAAAATCTTGCTGACCAGACGTTACACATGACGGTCGTTCCTGATGTGAGGTGTTACAAATGATATGATCAATAAACAAAAACAACAGACCTTTCGGAATGAAAAAACCATTGTATGTATCGTCACTCGAAGTGGCATGTGGAACGCCTACATGATTATCTTTAGCAAAGGCAGAATCACACAGCAAGGAAGATTACCGAGAGGTAGAATGGGGTGCCATCGGAAAGTCTCCCGCAGAATTGATTCAACATAAGGTAGTGATGCTCTGTCCTCAAACGTAGGTAAGCGATCTCTTCCGACCACCGAGTCGATTTCCGCTTGTGCGTGTCTCTGGACATCTGGATACAATACCATGGCGAGAACAAAAACCATCAAGGTCGAAGAGGTCTGTGAAGAGGTTAAGCAGCACACGATATGGTTCGGGACATCCGCTGACCGTCTCATATGAACCTGCATATTATGTTTGTGAAGGGTATAACATCTCCTATAAAAAGGTGGCGTACCCAAAATTGCAGCTGCAGCTGCTCTCTTCAAGGCAACCTCGAATATTGGCTTGGATGCCTCGTCTTGTTTCTCCATTCGTTGCAAATTTTCTGCCACCATTGAGAACTGGCCGAGAAACGAGTTTTCAGCCTTTGCAGGCATGCATTCAGCGTCTAGCTTCGAACTAGGTTAAATAAAGATTCTCACCATATGCTGCTGCGCAGATTGAAATGGTAAGTCCCTCATTTCATTCATACGATCGGTCGAAATTTGAGCATCGCGTTTGATGGAAGATCCCCAGCACCAGTCGGGTAACTTTTAATACTGCGTGAGCGTGTGGGATGTCAAGTCTTTCTCATCAGCAGGAGTGAGCTTACAGAAGGGGAAGAGTTGAAGCAAGATTGCTCTCTCTGGGGTCGCCATCTCAAAGCCAATAGCCATTGCAGTTTCTACGATTCGTACCAAAGGATCATCACGAGCGCTGGGCTGATAGTCATATATAACAGACATCCCAACCGATGACGAGAAGCTGTGTATAAGTGAGTAATCCCTCGATATTGGGAAATACATTTGCTGACGTTGCGAAGTGGTCATGATAATGTTGAGGGTCATCGATTAGGTTGACGATCATCTCACGAGCCCGTCTCATCTGCACCGGGCGAAACTTGAGTGTAGAGTTAGGACGAAAAGTTTGGTGGAAGAGTCGTCGGGAAAGACGCCATTCGTCACCATAGCCTGTGAATGCAAAGGTGATCGTGGACCAGCCAAATCTAGCTGCACCTCAGACTGGTTGAATGAAAAAAATTAAAATTAAAAGAACGCACGGCTCGACTGTGGCTAAGTATGGTCGATCGGAGTAAATCCGAGAACGCTTGTCCATCAAGGCTTCTGCAACGTGCTGAGAATTAATCACGACCGCTTCCTGGTCCAGGATTCGCATGAAGAGCAAGTCTCCTGGTAGAATGATTTACACTATATATGGCCCACACTATTGGTCCACGTACCATAAGCAGCACGCCATTTCGTATAAGTCAACCAAGGCTCCTTGGTGTCAATAGATAAGACGTTCCCTAACAGTGGGAGCGGCACTGGGCCAGGAGGAAGGCGAGGTTTGCTCTGTCTGTTCTCAACTGAACCGCCTGAGGGCTATGATGACAGCAAAGGAAAGTGGTAAGACGGCGAGGATACCAACTGAAGGAAACATGTTTAGAGCAGTACGCGGATATACATCCAAAGCTTGAAACAGACCTTATAACTACACGGCCCACGGGGAGCCACTTATCAGATCCCGTACCTGGAGTCCATGAAGTGCCGGAGTCGGAAGAGGGCTGAAGAGTTGAGAAGGATAAATTCAGTGTAGCAGCTGAGAAAACGAGGCCAGCATCTCAAATTCATGCTATTATAGTTTAAACTCGACATAGACATGGAGTTAATTTTGGAGAATACACTCACATATTACCTGTCCGCCAATGTCAAATCTACATCACAAATATGTGAACTTGATGAGTAGGTCTAGTTGTGAATTGGGGCAGGGGTGTGAAGTCGATAACCTCGCCCTGATCATCATTATCTTTGACTGAAAAGGCGTCCATTGTAGCCAAAATTATCACGATAGTAGACCACACATCCTGAGAACGGGACGGACCTTACGATCATTCACCGTGGTTCCCTATACCTCGTGCTTGCAGAGTGGTGGAAGAGACTGAAGAATACAAAAGAGCAGGTGAAAGAATTTGACGTGTTTATCGCGCCACCGGCCTCGGCATAGCGGGCGCTCCAGGTAAGTTTCTCGGGCGTCGCAAGTAAAGTGTCGAACAACCTATGAGTCATGACCGACCTGCACAACCATAAGATGTGATGGTGCTACATGCAGGGGGAGCTGCAGTCCCTCTCTCATGCGCACCATGTCTGTTCAGAATGAACTGGTCAAGAATGTGTACCTTATTGTGCAACGCTTGTGCAGGCGCTACGTCAAGGTTTGCTAAGTTTGCTTACGATGTTATTAACAACATGACCGGGTAAACGGGAGATACTTGATGCCGTTGTTCACGTGTGTCCCCCTCCATTTGATGTGGAACTTCCTTTTGCAATGGTAGCCTCTCGTAGTCAGACCATAGAAGGAAAACAGTTGATGGTTCTTGATATAAGTTTTCAATGATGGGCCGAAGTCTCGCACTTGACAAGACTCCGGTGTGGCCTCGCACTTGACAAGACTCCGGTGTGGCCTCGCATCATCTTTCAGGGCGTGATCGCTAGCGTATGCTATGTCTGGAGATTCGAGAAGACATGGTTGGCGCTCCGGGTCTCAACGTTACACCGCCCATCTTGTCGTCCGAAAAAAGTAGGATTCAGATTGTCATCTCGCAGATGAAAAGCCTGTACAGAATAATTCGATCACAAGAGGTTCGGTTGTGCAGCTGCCTGTCGAACGGATCACATTTTCAAGTGACGGTTCGCTCCAACTTGAAGGACCTCTGAATCCAGAGCGGTGCACAGATAGGAGACGACTGGCGAGATGAGGATGACAAGGCAGCAGTGTCAACATAGCATTGGGAAGACTGTTACAAGCGGAAGGGATAGTAATATTGTGCGGAGACGGGAAATGTCAGGGACAAATCAACAAGGCACACGTACAATAGATGGTGGCCCTGAGCGGATCCGATCGGCGAGTATGAGAAGACAGTCCTGACCGGCCCGGGGTCCATTCCGCCAAGCAAGCTGCTCTCCGCACTTGAAACACGTGCATGAGCCTAAGCTTGAGCTTGGACATCGGAAGATAATATTGAGAAAGAAACTTGTGCAACATATTTCAATTACATAATACTTTCACCTTGAGTCTCGGGACGTACTACAAGCGCAGCATTTTTGTATTGTAGTACAATCTCAAGAATAGAACTCAACATCAAGGTCCGGCTAACCAGTCCGACCGACCAAGTTCCACATGCAATGTAGTAGGATGGCTGTTGATTCATTGCGCTTGTTTCTGAGTCAGTGGCCGCGCTCCCTATTGTCTTCAACATTTTCTCCTACTCAGAGTCATGGGCCCCCCTTCCCACCGTGACAGTGCTGTGAGTTTTCCGGTGGGCTCGATAGTATGCGCTAACTGTTCAGAGAAGAGTGTTCCAAATTACTCTGAGTCTCGGAGTCTGAGAGGATGAAGTCGGATGAAAGCCTAGGACTGTTCTTTCCTCTGCTCGGTGGGGTATTGGTATTGGATGTGACGTGGGATGAAGACATCATATTCAGTAGGATGGCTGCTGAAAATGAGAGGAAGTGCGACACCCAGCCGAATGTTTGTCGCGGCCATTAACTTAGCGCCTTACGTACCGGAAGACGCACACAGCACATAGCGCCGGTCGAAGACTTGGTCCTTAAAAGACAACTTGGACGAATGAGTGCCCAACTTCCTCAACTCCAAAACAACCTCCCACCCTCTTGGTTTACAGTCCGTCTTTGCGAGTTACTCTGAGTAGGTGCTTCTCGTAAGTGATAAGTACTTTAGGCTGATATAGCACAGATCTTTTGCGGGTTCTCGTATTACACCACGCATGCATACATAGCGCCAAAAGTTCAAAACCGTCCTGGTGGTCAATCGATAAGGAGCGGTTTCCTGTAAGCAGGCGTTCTTGTCAGCTTTTCCTTGTGCTTTCTTGACAATAGTGGTCCTGTCAACTCATCAGCCATCAACCCCTTGCCAGATTGCCAGATAACTCGTTCTGGGTCAAATATCCTGGGCTGATTTGCTCGCATTCATAGTCCAGGATCTACCGTGTTTGAGACCCCGAGCACCTACCATATCTTCCTCGATCAGTAATATGATGGCGGTCACGCCCTGCAAGACGATACGAGGCCATACCCAACATGTCCGAGGTGTTGTGCACCTGCCAGACGGACGACGTATCATCACAGGTTCGGATGACGGCTCACTCCGACTATGGGAGTTGGAGAGTGGCACACAGGTGGGCAAGGACTGGCGAGATGAGGGGGATAAGACCCTCGTGAGAGCCATAGCTTTGTCTCCAAACGGTACCACTGTGGCAAGCGGGGGCTTTGATGGGAAAGTGAGATTGTGGGATGTCGAGACGGGGAAGGTCATCGATAAATGGACAGCGCATACTGATTCTGTGCATTCAGTGTGCTGGAGTACAGATGGTAGCGAGTCTGAGCGGATCCGGAGATGCCAGTGGGGATTCTGGGACAGCAAGAGTGTGGGATATCAAGGGCAGCAAAAACATCCTGAAAATTGAAACCGGATCTGGTGGAACTTGGGAAGCGATCTATTCACCCAACTCATTAAAAATTGCGACAGTGGACAAGACTGCAGGAAATATCTGGGATGCGAAGACAGGCGAACCTACTCTCCAAAGTCTCCACTGTACCAGAGGAATTTAGCAGCGTAGCATGGATGTCGGATGGAAAGAAGCTCATCGGGGGGGTCCATGAGGTCAATTATGATATTCGACACATCCACTTTGCAGAAAATCGCCACACTCGAGGGTCATAGGAGCTGGGTCCATGTCATCGCCTTGTCTCGGAACGAGCGCCTCCTTGTGAGTGCATCATGGGATCACACAGCGCTTCTATGGAATCTCGACACCAACCTCCCAGTTGGTCTCCCCCTCGAGCACGAAAGAGCTGTGCTCTGTGCAGCATTTTCTGCTGATGGAAAGCTGTTAGTCACTGGTTGCGAGGATAACAATGTGTACGTGTGGGACATCCACGCCATCCTCGATGAAGCTGGCCTCAAAGACCTACTGTCCATTCCTGATGTGAGTTTCGCAACTCTTCGGTAAAAACCACGATAATCCAGACTAATTCATCTACTCACAGGTTCCAGCTAGAAAGTCGTCGCTGAACGTATGTAATGTGTTTCTTAAACTTTTTAATCATTCTGAGACTAGCATTCCAGAACAAAGCTACACGACAGCCAGGTAAGCCCAAGGACTTCCGTGGAGTACCGCTAGGTTTTTTCGATGACGCGCAAGATCGTGATCATGTGCGTCGTAAGCATTGTTTGATTCAGTTCATGTTCTAACCTCTGCCCTCAGTCCTCTACAGCACGCAATACCCATCGTCACAGCTCCCGCGCACCTTCGAGTTCTTTGCGGAGTCCGCGCGCGCTTCTCGATAGGGTGATGTCGCTCTTTCGCCAATCTCATTCCCATACCGACGAAGCAATCGAACTCCAGCGACGCCCAAGGCAAAGCATCTTCTCTCGTCGCGGTCCGCATGTTGTCGAAGTTGCTACAGTACAGGACAGAAAAGTATGTATTTCTTTGCCTGCGTTTGCACTCGCCGTGGTTTAATATTTTGGTTACAGCCGTTGGCAGTCGCTCCACAAAATAGAAAGCAGCAGCAAAACCAGACCCATGGCCAGGGGTCGTCATCGCAACATCAAGCTGCTGCCACCGCCACATCCACGACACCTGCCCCAGGTACTACCACAACGGGTGCACCAACAGTACGGTCGCGACTCCTCACGTTGTTGGCTCGTCTCGTGCTTTTTCTCTGCTGTGCATATCCTCCATGCAGCAATGGTTAATAATACAGATGCAGCAACTATTTCACTTTACTGCTGGTTCTTCTGTGCTTATATCTCTTTCTCCAATCTCTGATTGAGTTCTACCTGATTAAAGTCCTCATCTCGGTTCTCGACAATTAAATATATACTTCAACACAAAGATCGTAAGACCGACTAGGCAAAGTACATAACAGTCCTAGTGTAATACTCAGCTATACTATAAAGCTACAGATGTTTCCTGTTTCGACGGATGAAAGGAGAGGTTGTGTCTATATCGTTGAGTAGGAGTTGGGGGATGTGGTATCACTATCACTATCATATAGTCACTGGGTCACCTTGAGGATATGCGCCGCACTATGACGAACTCAAAAAAGAGGTTCCTTTCCACCACTTGCTGACCTTGGCTACAGAGTATCGTGCACTCTTAGCCACACCGGCGCTTACTATGCCCTTTAGTGACTGGACAGTTGCTGGGTACCGCACGATCTTGGTTATTTCTGGTAAGGATCATCAGCATGAAGATCTCAAGATCGGAATGGAAGAACATACCAGATTCAAGAATCGAGGGGAGCTCCTTGTCGCCTGCGATACGGAGCCAATAAGCGCAATCATCCGCCTCTCTAGGCGGACCACGCCCCTCGGCACGCTGATGAACGTGCTTCAAGAGCTCTTCCGGCAATTTCTTCAGGTGCGCTGCTCTCGCATGCGGACTGATATCCTGTTCCACGCTCTTGGAACCCGCCGCCCACCGGACCCCAGGAAGGCCTTGCGCAAGCCTCCAATACAACTCCCGGAACTGGTCCTCCTGACGAGAAACCATATTCTCCACCTTTCCTCGATTCTCAGCTGGGAGCACCATCCGAGGGTCACCAGAGTAACTTATTCCTGCTATAGCTGAGAATAGCTCGCGTTGAGTGAAGGATTCCGGGAGCATGAGAAGGGCGGTGCGAAGCGCAGAGGTGAGGTTGACTTGCTGAGTCAGTCGTACGCGTGCATCGTCTTTGATGATCCGTAGAGGTTTGTGCATTCTCCCAGCAAGATAAAGTGTGCGCCAGTTAAGCAGGTCAGCGCATAGCGAGTCGACGGTCGTTACCCCATACTTGATATTCTACGACAGTAAAAGTAAGCGAACAGTGGAATGGTATGAACGACAGTGACGTACGACCCCCTTCATCGGCACAAAAGTATTAAACCAAAGTCCAGGGCTGAGCTCTTGCGTTTTGGAGACAAACGACGACCCTAGTACGCGTGCATGCAGAGGATAATGACCGGGATGCTGTTGCATGTTGATTGAGTGCCAGTGATCCGAATGTGTGACCGCGAATATGAAGTCCAACATTGGCCTATCTTCCTTGTCCTTCTGTTTCTCATACCCAGCCTGCTCAAAAACGCCAGATCCATAGGCAAACGCATATCGAATGGGCGCTTCGAATGATCCTACGATATCTTCCAGAAGGGCCCGAGTGGAGTCTGGGACCGGCAGGACTTGGTTCCGCCCGAAGCTTGCAGGAAGAGTTGGGAGCGCTTGTCGTTGGTGGAGAACGGCTGGACGCGGGCGCGGATGTAATCGTGACTGACGAGGCTTGCTTGTCTCTGACTTTGAGAGGGGAAGCGGTGGAGTGAGGACAGTTTGAGAAGTAGTGGAGTCGGTGGTTAATGAGCGAGAAAGGACATTGTAGACGACGAGCTGATGCCCGGCGAGCTGATGAGCGAGTGGTGGATAACATACTGCACGACGACAGCGGCAGATGACACCGACGATGGTAGTCTTATGATGATGGTGGCTGCAGAATTGGATTCACTCTCAATCGCACGTAAACCACGTGACTATGAACGGTTTTCGCGGCCACAACGCGTAGTCCGGCAATTAAGACGTCCCGATCGAGGCCGCAAGTCTGAGAACCGGTTACATGAATTTTTATCGAATAGTACTACACACTTCGTATCACTATAGCTGGGGCACTGCATTGTTAAAACCTACTTTCTGACAGATGACTCTTTGTATGCATAATACTACAGCCCAGTTCAGAGAAGACCCGCAAGTTCTGAATGGATATGAGAACGTGGTGAAATATTACAAGGGAAGGCCATGACGGAGCTAAAACGATGAAACTGTTAGTGCTAGGAGGATAGAATGACAAGGAAATAAAATACTGAGTGAGTCCCGTCCTGAATTGCGGGATGAAGTCGATCATTTTGCCCTGGTCATCCTTGGCAAAAGAAAATTCGACTGTGGCCAACATGATCGCAATAGCGGACCACAGAGTGGCATCGACAGTGTACCGGCCTGGTTAAAGAATATCTCATCACATATCACACGACAACAAGATAACTCAACCAACCTGGACACGCACGCCGGCCTGAGCCGAAAACATATCCCGCAGGGTCATCATCGGTTAATGCTCCGTTAACATCCAAGAACCTCTCTGGCATAAAACGAGATGCCTCAGGGTACCGCTTTTCATCCCGTGAAATGCACCTGTGATGTAACATTAGTATCCTGAAAGCTGGGGAGAATCATAGTATCTGACCATGTATTGTATATGACGGTTGTTCCTGATGTGAAATATTGAAAATGATTCGTTGTTTGGACGTTGAAAACAGCAGACCTTTTGGAATGAAATAGCCATCGTATATATCATCACTCGAGGCAGCATGTGGCATGCCTGTAAGACCGTCTTCAGTGAAGGCGAGATCAATTAGCGGGGAAAACTACCAAGAGGTGAAACAGGCAGCCATCGCAAAGTCTCCCGCAGAACTGATTCGACGTATGGTAGTGATGTTCTGTCTTCAAATGTAGGCAAGCGATCTCTTCCAATCACTGAGTTGATCTCTGCTTGTGCGCGTCGTTGAACATCTGGGTAAGACACCATAGCGAAAGCAAAAGCCATCAGGGTTGAAGTAGCCTGTAAAGAGGTTGAGTGGCACACGATGTGTTTCGGACATCTGCTCACCGTCTCGTATGCACCTGCATAGCAGGCATTTGTCAAGAGCATAACGTCCCTCGTAAAAGGTCACAAACCCATCATAGCAGTGGTAGCGGTTCTCTTCAAAGTAGCCTCAAACATTGGTTTTGATGCCTCATCTTGCGTCTCCATCCGTCGTAAATTTTCTGCCACCATTGACAACTGTCCAAGTGACGAGCTGTCGGCCTTTGCATGCATAGAATCAGTGTCTGGGACCAAACCAACAGAGGCTCACCATATGCTGCTGCGTATACCGAAACGGTACGTCTGTTATTTCCCTCATGTGATTGGTTGAAGCTCGAGCATCGCGTTTGATTGAGGATCCCCAACACCAGTCAGGTAACTTCAGTACTGCGTGACGGGACAGAATGTCAACTATTTCCATCAGAAAGAACGCTGAGCTTACAGAAGGGGAAGGCTTTGAGCAGTACTGCTCTCTCTGGGGTCATCGCATGAAGGCCAACCATCAGTGCATTTTCTATGATTTGAACCATAGGATCATCACGAGCCCTGGGCTGGTAGTCATATATAGTAGACATCCCGATCGATGACGTGAACCTGTGGATAAGTTAATAATCACTCGATATTTGCAAACACATTGGCCGACGTTGCAAAGTGGGAATGATAATGTTGAGGGTCCTCAATTAGGTTGACGATCATCTCACGAGCCTGTCTCATCTGCATCGGACGAAACTTGCATGCAGAGTCGGGACGGAAAGTTTGGTGGAAGAGTCGTCTGCAACGACGCCATTCATCATTATACCCTGTGAATGCAAAGTTGATCGACCAGCCACTTCTATATAAAAGTCAGACTGATTGAACACATGGATATTAGAAGGACACACGGCTCGATTGTGGCCATGTATGGTCGCTCGGAGTAAATCGCAGAGCGCTTGTCCAGTAAGGCTTGTACAACATGCTGAGAATTGATCACCACTACATCCTGGTCTAGAATCCGCACGAATACCAAGTCCCCTAAGAGAATGATTTGTACTACAAAATGTAAACTGTCTTTCTACATACCATAAACAGCATGCCATTGAGTGTAAGTCAACCAAGGTTTTTTGGTGTTGATAGATAGAATGTTCCCTAACAACGGGATTGGCACTGGGCCAGGAGGAAGGGAAGGTTTGGTCTGTCTGTTCTTAATGAACCACCTGAGGGCAGTGACGACAACAAAGGAAATAGAGAAGATGACGAGGATAGCAAGGCGACCTTCAACTGCAGGGACCATGGTTAGAGTAGTGCGGCGGTGGACATCCAAAACACTTATTTATAAAGTAAGGGAGAACGGTGTGGGAAGTGTCTCGCCAGCTTGTGTGTACGAATGACGAGAAGTGCATGGATAAATTTGAATGACCCACATGTGTGCGCTTTGAATTTCAACTGCTCCGCTGGTGTGACAGGGAGGTCTACATACCCAAGAAGATTCTTTCGTTTTCGTGATGCCACGGTCCACGCCTGAGAATGACTGGTCAACTCGGAAGAAGCTTCTACTTCCGCGATAGGTGGGGATAGAAGAGGTGTGCTCAATTCTTAGGTCCTGTTTGGAGTCTTGGACAGCGAAATACAAAATTCAGAATTCGATATTCATATCATGTGACTCACCCGTGAGAGTTGCCAGCTCATCCGGGAAGCGCCGGGTCAAGGCAACGATAACATACGGTAAGGTGTATTAGTTTTGATAATATCATTATCATTGTCCCCTGTATATACTTGCCTGTATGGATCCAATCCTCGTCGCCCGACACGCCTACAATACTATTGAACAATCCACAAATGCCCTACTACGCCGGCACAAAGCTCACAACAAGGCAAACCTTCGCAGCCATCGTTTCATGCTGCTTATCACTTGTATAGTGGCACAAGTATCAGCCCTGTATTACAACCTCTTCGAAACCCCCCGGGAAAAAATTCCATACCACACCTCTGCTTTGACAGGCTATGCTTGGGTTCTGGAACTCATGACAGGCCATCCAGACAGGATCTGGCACAATCTGGGCATGAATTTGGAAGTATTTGAGGAACTGCTGTGAGTTCTCCAGGAGAATGGATTTGAGCAGTCTCGCAATGGTGTTTCGGTAGAGGAACAACTAGCTATTTTTTTATATACCTGCGTGACCGGTCTCTCAACTCACCATGTTGGTGAGCGCTTCCAATGGTCCCCCCAGACAATATCCAGGTAATAACAAACCAGCTCATATAACGGTACATCTCAATTTTATTGCTTAGATATTTCAAGGATATGGTCTTCTTTTTCTCAGATGATCCCTTCTACTCCTCTCAAATTCATTTCCCAACTGCGGATACCCCCATCCCTCCAGAAATCACTAACGACCATCGCTTTCGTCGGTTCAATAAGTGTATTGGCGCTGTCGATGGGACACACATCCGGGCATTTGCCACACTCGTCGATCACGCATACATGCGTAATCGCAAGGGATATATATCCCAAAACTGCCTGTTCATATGCGACTTTGACTTTTGCTTCATATATGGACTCACCGGGTGGGATGGCTCATCTTCTGATGCGGCTATCTGGAATGATGTGCGTGGACATGACTTATGCATCCCCGAAGGTAGATACCTCCTCGCGGACGCAGGCTTCGGAACTTGCGACGCGTTACTTGTACCCTATCGGGGTGTACACTATCACCTTAAAGAATGGCATTTGGCGGATAATTCGTAAGTCTTCCTACTCTCAATTTATTTTTGCTACTTACCAGTGTTCAAGCCTGCAGAACGCTAAAGAGTTATTTAATCTTCGACATTCCTCCCTCCGGAATGCGATTGAATGCATATTTGGGGTGATGAAGCGCCAGTGGCGCATATTGCAGATGCCCCCAGAATACAGCATGGAGATCCAGGCCCTCATACCTCTGGCACTGTGCGCCTTGCACAACTTCATTCACAAAGAGGATCCTGATGTTTTCCATAATGACTATGATGCTGACATCCCTGAAATCTTTCACGCTGATGATGTGAATGGGGAAGTTGCAGCAGACGTCGTTTGAGGGAATGATGCTTGGGGGGAGCTTGCTGATGGGCCGCCAAGTTCTGCAGAGAGGAGAAGAGCTGATGCGCGCCGTGATGAGATAGCAGCTGCAATGTGGGCGGATTACATTGCCCAGAATGATTAGTACTTTGTGACTTCCCCTCTTCTACCTTCACCAAATGGAATAATAAAAGCGCGCAGTAGATAAATTTTTCTCATTGCAATCTACATACATTTGTACATGAACGACGAAGTAATCTACTGGTCAGCGAGCATTTCTGCGCAGAGCTGCAAGCTTCTTTTGCGCCCAAGATGTCCTCCACACTGGCCCTTCTTTCAAGGCAAGGAATGCTACCACTTCATTTGGATTGGCGGTCATAAAGTTGGTGAGGACCAAGACATCATCCAACTGCAAACCTTCAGTGTCACAGAGAGCAGTGATTGCACAGCCAAGTGTTGTAGGAGGAGGGCGTTCATCCTGTTGGGTGGATGATGATGATGAAAATGAGTCAATAACCTGCGGTAAAACTTGCGTGATAGAGGCAAGAGCTGCACTACCCTCCTGCTGAGCCTTGGCAGCTAAGGAGGGGGGGTGAGAGTGCTTGCATGATGACTCTACGTTATCCAATGCGCTGTGTTTGCGTTTACCCCAGCTGGCACTTGTAAGCCTCGAGTCACTCGTGGTAGGAGTGAAAGTGGAGGTAGGTGCAGCTGGTGAGGTTTGTGGGCCAGCCACTGCGATTGCAGTGGCAGCATCAGCGAGGATTGAGAGATCCATTGAGTTGGAGGTAGAGGCCGAGGGGGAAGGAAGTATGTGGCGTGTGCATATGGGCGTCGTAGATGGAGGCAGCATCGACGAAGAGGACAAAGCAGCCATAGGAACAGATGGGACCCTCCTAGCAGGGGGCTGGTGGGTCACGAACTTTCCTTTGGCGGCGGATGGCATCAGCACCTCAACAGCAGCATAATGAGGGAATCCTTTATGAGCAAATGGTTTAGACAGAGGATGCGCCTAAGGACACACAACATCAAGACAATTCTGGTAGAAATTGGACACTCTTATCCTGGCATGTGCGTCCCAGACACCACTAGTTTCAGGCGTGACTCCAGCTCCATGCTCATCACTCCATGCGAAACCGGAGAGCGACTTGATGTCCTTGACGACATTGTAACTCTTCTTTAGCTGTAATAATATGAGGCACTGTAGTAGATAGATAGATAATGATAAAACTCACGTTGTTCCACTTGGTTTTGCAAGATGACTGGGATTTGGCAGTGCCCCTGTAGGTGGGATATAATGCGTTGAGGTGCTTGGAAGCATCAGAGTATACTGAGTTTTTGAAAGTTGCGTTATCCCCAGCCTCAGCCCCGCGAGTTGCAAGAAAGGCGATGAGTTCACTTTCTTCGTCCAGCTCCCAATGTGCGGCGAGCTTGCGAGATGCAGTGTTGTCTTGCGAGACCATCGGTTCATCCACCATGGTTGATCCACGGGAACGAACAGAGCCCACGCTCGACAAATCAGACATGGTAGGTATAAAGTTATGAATAGATCTAAGACAATGTCTCGTAGTACGACTCATCACTTATCAGAGTTACCTCTATGTCTGCTTTGACCCAGCGCTTCCCGGATGAGCTGGCAACTCTCACGGGTGAGTCACATGATATGAATATCGAATTCTGAATTTTGTATTTCGCTGTCCAAACAGGACCTTAGGATGTCAAGTCCAAGGTGTCAAGTTGCAGCCAAACAATGATATAAGCCACCAAATTGGGATCACTAACCTTACCCTTATGGCGCACAGCGCTGTAACATTAATATTGTGAGTAGTCCACAATATCCTGGCAGTATGATATATCATGCTCTGTCATTGTAGAAGGGAGGTGATACATTCACGCTTGTAAACCATAGACATAGGCATATGATATATCAATGATATATCACTTGCCCCCCACCTTCAGTAACCGCATTTAGTGTTACATAATAAGCGACCTGAAGCGGTACTACCTTCCAAAATATACCCACAATTGGATATTTCATTATCCCAGACATTCCCACACTCCCTTTACCCCCCTGGTCCTCCTGCTTCACTGCAGCACTCCCTTCAATTGCTATTTGCTTGTATGTAGTAGAATAGCATGTAAGTAGATGTAATAAGTCAATAAACCGCTTTTTCATGATCTGGGAGCCTGTATAGCCTCCACAGGCCCCAGGGTGTACTACAGTACTCTTGGGCTGAAACAGGTCCGCTTTTTTCTCCTTCAGCAGGGGATCAATTATGATGGTAAGTAGCATGTATTAGAGTCCAAATAAACATATTCTAGTGTATGGTCAATTAGGAACTGTCCAAGATTCACAGGGTAAATTAGCAATGCGCCCAGAGGCCTTCAGATTCACCACGTGAATTACAGTAAATTAACAGGTCTGTAAATCAACGCTAATTTACAGGTGAATTAGGTCAAATGTACTGTGAATTAGAGTGAATTAAGGTGAATAAGGGTGAATTAGGTGAATTATTTCCACTCGTCCCAAGCAGAAGGGTTGGGGACAGATGAGGACAGGTTTTTAGTGGCAGCCTTCTTTGTTGGTGCAGAACCCGGTGTGAAAAACACAACCTGACTAGGCACTTGTTAAGGTACTCAGCCAGTATATGTCTAATGCTCTGCCTATGCTGCTATACTTGCAACAAAGATGCAAGAACGTTTGACCCAAGGGAATAGCTACCAAGAACAACTTAAGATTGAAAGACCTGAAAGAGCGCTAAAGCGCGGGAATAGCGCGTTGCAAGATAGAGTGCTAATGCGCGAGAAAGAGCAGAAGGGAAGCAAGCAGACACTGAGTCAAAGGAGGGTGCTGGATAGCAAGTGAGATCAAGGGTATTGATTGCAAGGGTAAGGAAAGTCAAGGTAAACCAATAGGGGCTATAGAGCGCAACTAAAGGTGACTACTTCTAAGTAAAACCTAAGGGAAGGAAATACAGTCGAAGGGAAGTAATGTTGAAGTAGTCACCATAGGCTTCTTATACTAGTAAACTATACCATCTCGGACTCGGAAGGGATAGGATATACATGTAATAAGACTGTAGCACTTGTTACAACTCGAGGCAAGGCAAATTACATACCAATGAGGTAGGATGGACTATGGATGGATTCCGACATTTCAGGTGGATCCTAGAGCACGAGAACAGCACGCTGGATAAGCGCTAAGTGTGGGAACAAGCGCTAGATAGAGCAGACATGCACTAATGCTCCTATAGACACATTGCTGGTAGTTCTGATAGTGCTATAAGCGTGGGAATAGCGTCGGATAAGTCGCGGGAGCATGGATAGCGCTGCGGGAATGTGTGCACATAGTGCGGGAAAGTGCGGAATAGCGTCGGACAAGGGTTATGGCTGAGACAAGTGAAGACTGCTGATAGGGGAGTAGTGAATAATATGAGGGATAACTTTGGTCCACCTATTGAAGGCTTATGCAGGTATACATGCCTAGCGCCAATATGATTGTCACACCGAGAAGAACACATGGAAATTGTTACTCACATTAGAATCGAAACCATGCCATTGTCAGATTTTGATATGATCTTGAAGAGTACCAATTTCCTGCCTACTTCATTGAGGAGAGTTGAGCCAAGTAATCATTGACATGATGCATTCATCTGGCATGGATGTTGGAGACACTGAAAAAGCCTTGATTGCAAGAGGCTGTCGAAATACTTAGTCACTTGTCTTGGATGCGGGAGCCTCGCAGACTTACTGCAAGAACATTAGCTAACTCGTCTTTTTGCAATGCTTTCTACCAGCCAAGAGCACTTTCATTCGTTCTCATCTTCCAATTAAATGGGTCCTCACCCTTGATGTAGGCTTTGAATTGGGTGCGAAAAGAAACCAGTGCATCTGTGGGGCTGAACTCAGCGAGCATAGGATTGTGCAGCTTCATCTCGACTACTGGATCAGGATACTTTCCAGCCTCGTAGGAATCTCCATACTCGTGTTGCAAAATCCTTTGTAGGGCAAGGGCAGCACACGTTACCATATTCTGAGGAGGCTTTGTGGCACAGGTGATGACTCCAGTAACAGATTTGGTGGTTGTGAGAGTTGGGCCTGCCATGGGGTTGACCTGCTTGTAAATGGGTGCATTTCAGTATGCTACATTGTGGTTAGATCTGATCAGAACGGTGTGGCAATCCCAGCAAACATACCTATGGCAAACCCCCTAATTCACCCTAATTCACACCCCCACAATGCCATCTGAGATTCACATGCTGATCAACCGTAATTCACAGGTGTAAATTAACAGGTGTAAATTAACACCCCTCTATTTGACCGTACACTAACATATTCCACCGCTTGGTTGAGCCTATAAAGTGTCCTGCATCACTAGATAGCTTATATACCCCTGAAAACATAAATCAGTCCACATTTTTGCATTTTTTGACATATGGCCTTGTAGTAAATAGGCTGAATACAACATATATATATGTATATACAACATACTACAAGCTCAAGACTTCAGGATGAGCACTTGTTGTGCTACAGCCTGACCTCTCTCCATGTTACCTACTATGTGAATTTTTTTCTTGCAGTTCTGACATCAGGGCAATGCAGGGATATTATAGCTATGATAATTCTCATTCCAGGATTTAATTTACAGAAGAATTCACCATGGATTGAGAGTATAGTGTGCAAAATTCCAGAAAAAAATTCACATAGTAGGTAACATGGAGAGAGGTCAGGCTGTAGCACAACAAGTGCTCATCCTGAAGTCTTGAGCTTGTAGTATGTTGTATATACATATATATATGTTGTATTCAGCCTATTTACTACAAGGCCATATGTCAAAAAATGCAAAAAATGCGGACTGATTTATGCTTTCAGGGGTATATAAGCTATCTAGTGATGCAGGACACTTTAGAGGCTCAACCAAGCAGTGGAATATGTTTATTTGGACTCTAATACATGCTACTTACCATCATGATTGATCCCCTGCTGAAGGAGAAAAAAGCGGACCTGTTTCAGCCCAAGAGTACTGTAGTACACCCTGGGGCCTGTGGAGGCTATACAGGCTCCCAGATCATGAAAAAGCGATTTATTGACTTATTACATCTACTTACATGCTATTCTACTACATACAAGCAAATAGCAATTGAAGGGAGTGCTGCAGTGAAGCAGGAGGACCAGGGGGGTAAAGGGAGTGTGGGAATGTCTGGGATAATGAAATATCCAATTGTGGGTATATTTTGGAAGGTAGTACCGCTTCAGGTCGCTTATTATGTAACACTAAATGCGGTTACTGAAGGTGGGGGGCAAGTGATATATCATTGATATATCATATGTCTATGTCTATGGCTTACAGGCATGGATATAACACCTCCCTTCTACAATTACAGGTAATTGATATATCATAATGACATTATCGCCTGAAGTTATATACTACCTTACAGGGGTTGATTATGCAATCTATCAGCTAATCTAACTGAGTTTAACCCATACTATTTTCCTCTCTCTTTTACAGGAAGGGAGACACAACTCACGCTACACATTTCATGCTACACAATTCATGAGCACGCTAACTCTCAGACATATTTCATACTGTAGACTCAGTATACAGAATTCAATTGTTTTAAACTAACCAAGGAACAAGGAAAGAAGGTATATTGAAATAAATCCTCCCAAGAACTCACACTTTATCTACCACAAAAACTAGAAAAGTCATAGACCATGTACTCAAGGACTGGCAATAGGTCTTATCCTGTATAGTTGTGTTGTCACTATACAAGCAGCGTACATAAGACCCTTAGGTAAGAGGACAGTGGCCATGGATATCAGCTAAATCTTCCTCTTGTTTAGCTAATTGACGACCCTGTATTGTGATAAGCTGGGTTGTGGAGAGTTGAACAGGAATATCGGGAAGGAGGAATGCCACTTCGGTGATATTGAAGGGTAGGAGCGGTTCTATGCTGTGTGCCATGAAGAAGGGAGTATGACTGGTGGATTTTCATGTTGTAATGTGGTCAGCCCAAAAGACATAGTGAGCAAGAGTTGGCCATTGAGTGATATTGCTGTTACAGGTTTTGACGAGCGAGTCTTGAATTGTCCTATGCGAGTGTTCAATGAGGCCATTTGCCCTCAAATTGTACGCTGAGATGCGAATGTGCCAGATGTGATACTTGTGCACGAGCCAAGCAAGTGCAGCAACAAAAGGAGACCCATTATCTGTTACAATCTCTTCTACAGCTACCCACCGGTGTGGAAATCACAACCTGACTAGGCACTAGTAAAAGTACTTCACCAGTATATGAGGTCTTAGCTCTGCCTAGCTGCTTCACTTGCAAGCAAGAGTGTTTGACCCTAAAGGGGCCTGCTGTCTAGTTAAGTTAGAATATGTCAGTACTACACAAGGAATGAAACCCGAGAGTGGAAGGTACGAGTCTGAAGGTAGGAGATGAAGTCCGACGTAGGGTTTATCGAGTCCGATGTTTTGGGGATCGGGGAGGATGGGAAAGCAAGGGATGAGTAGGGAAAAGTGTGGGGTTAGGATTGGAATGCAAAGGAATGTTTAGGGATAATGAGTGACTGAGGTTCAGATCGTAAGGAGAGGAAATCAGGTATATTCAGCAGTTATAGGGGTAGAGACTTGGTAGTGTGACCAGTATCAGGGAATTTCTCCCATCTACAGAGTGGTGAAGTATGATGTGACAATCATACCAGTGCTAGGTGCGTATGAGTGTCATAGGCATATTTTGCCTTGTCTAGAGGAAAAGAGTAAGGCGCTAGTCACCAGCGCTATTCAGCTCCCAAGCTATCCGCTTTGGAACCACTTTTCTCCCATAGCGCGCTACCCGGTCCAACGCCTAGGTATTCCATCCTCCCATGTCCTGCCTATGTCCACCTACCTCTGCTGGTGCATTATTTTTCCTTAAATGTTGCTACTCATCAGTCACAGGTCTTATTACATGTATCCTTGTGTTCCGCAGCGCTGCATGTTTTATTACCTGTCGCTACATCATGTCCTCGCCAGTGTCGCTACTATACTTGCCTACGCAATTCCAAACTCTTACGCAGTATGATAAAATGACCTGTCGCACATACAGTACAGTACTTCCCTTCCCTGGACCTTTGCTGGTGTTGGAGTCACTTTAGTCGCTATATCCTAGTCTTGGTGCAATTGATTCCGCTCTTGCCAATCTCTTTGATTGCATGTCACTAAAGTTTCCCTCTTAAGTTTGACTTTCGCAACATTGGGATAGCTATCGGTAGTTGAGCTATAATCTAGTCGCTATCGGGCATTTCACTTGCACTGTCTTACCTTACTCCTCGCTTTCGCTCCTTTTGATTTCTACTCACTGTCGCTAGTCGGACGTCGCATAGCGCTTCTCACTTATATGCACATTTCGCTGTCGGAACTCACTTGTCGCTGATCGCTATAGCGCTACTCATTGGTTTTTGGTCTTAGGTCACTATAGGTTATTAGTCCTTCGCGCTATCACTTCCCTTGCATATTAGTAGGGAGTTGCTTCAATAGCAGTCCTCTTGGATCGAATACTACACTCACACCTATTGGGATAAGTAGCACTAGTTTCTAACTGGCCTAGTCGCTATTTCTATTTCACAACTGAAGCCCACCGTGAGGGGGCCATTTGAAGCTGGAAGGCACACCGCCTAGACCTACCGAGACCCAAAAACCTCGCGATCTTAGCGACATTTCGCAAGAAGATTTTTTCTACTCAGTAATAGATTCCACCAACGAAGAAGTCGAGTGCACTGCATTCGACTCACGATCCTGCTCATCTTCAGAAGCTACTGTTATCTGCCATCTTACTCCCGACTTCGAAGAAGAGGAAGAACCCCTTGGACAATTAACATCACATTACCTTCCACTCCCTCGAGTTCCGTTCATTACTGTAGACACTCCCTCCACTGCATCATCACTTACCCCCCTCTACTCCGTCTTGCGACGAGTCACCCAAAAGGCAGAACCTTTTCATACCCGCCTCCTTCATACCTAGCTCTATCCCGTCTCCGCACAAGTGACTAAGCACTCTCCCTCCGTCCATACCCGACCCTGCTATCCATACCGCATCTTCCTCGACAGCACCATTTACTACTGCCCTTCCTCCAGTCGTACAACCCGCTCTTTTTGCTCAACCCACTCAACCCGCTCAACCTGTCCAACCTGCCATCATGTCTTCTGCACCATTCAAGATGCCTCTTAGAGGAACCAACACTGCGCCAAAGTTCAATGGCACACCAATGCGCCTCATACCATTTTTTGAGGATGTGGAATTACTTGCTGACTATGCAGGACTTACCGCTGAGCAGTGCATCAAGGCTGCGATCTGATACACGCCCATAGATTAATCGGAAACATGGGCATCAAGACCCGCCGCGAAAGGTAAAGATTGGGACAAGTTTGTCGAAGCCATCAAGGCTATGTACCCAGGATGCGAAGGCGATCATCGCTATGCACACACTGATTTGGAAAACCTTTGCAGAGAACATGTCCGCAAACCAATCTGCTCGAAGGAAGAACTTGGACAGTTCTACTGCAAGTTCCTTCACGTTTTGCAATACCTCCTAGACAAGAGTAGGATAGCAGAACTCGAGCTTGGTCGCTACTTAGAAGGAATCCATTCCACGGCCAATACCACCATCAAGCGAAGGCTAGAGATCAAGCTAGTCGACCACCATCCTGACGACCCATACACCTTGGAAGAAGTATACGACACAGCGGTATTCTTGCTACCCAGTATCGCACCTACGGCAGTCGCTGTTTCACCTCCTAGCGCATCTGCCACTAATCAGCAACCCGCCACAGGAACTGTGGTAAAGCGGGAGTATAGCCAGACGCGACCTCTCTCCAACAATGCGTGTTATTTCTACGGAGGAGATCACTATACGAACTGCTGTGCTTTACGCGACCAATATGCCAGCGAGGGTAAGATCCACATCACACCGGAAAAGAAAATTGTAATGCCCGATGGTAGCAACATCCCTGGAAGACTCTCTGACGGGAATTTCAAGGAGCGCATAGACATATTCCTGCGCGATGGACCCGCTACAGGTTCTAACTTGACAGTGCTAGGGTTGATGTATTGTCACGCTGAGCCC